CCCCCTTGTTGTTGATGTTTGTACTATAGTCTTTCCCTGGGGTACCCGCCGGGGGGATACCAGGAGGCCATGTACATAGCTCCCGCGCGAGATCGCGGTAATGACAATCATGCTCGTTTTCTGCAAATCGAGACGGTTGGTTTCCGGTATCCACCTTGGCCATTGGCACGCTGGGTTCGCTTGATTTTCTCCGAGACAGCTGGAGATACTAAGTTAAGTAAAAAAGTGGAGCCCACCTCGGATTGTTGGATCTAGCGTGGGATGAGATTGGCGGAAGAACAATTGAAAGGACACACAGCCATCTTGCTGTACCAATGACACTGGTCCGTGATTCTAGTTTGACGTTTTAATCCACTATGTCATCGCGTGAACACGCTGATCGTGAGGTCATGGTGCAGAGGGGATCGAATGAGCTGTGGCGGGTGTTTGGGGAGGGTTTAACTAGTCCAGAGTACGGTGTAAGTAACGAGGAACTAAAAGAAACGGAACCGACTAAGAGGACGGGCACGGATGGAGCTATCCGTGGTTTGGGTATCGTGGCATCGTTTGGGGCGTCATTCGCGCTTGTCAGTGGACGGGAGTTAGCGCTTAACCCATTGAGAAATTACTCGGACTGTATCCACTATGGAATGATCGCTGGGAAGGGAACATGCCAAAATGGAACAAGATTGAAGGGAAATTACGGCAGCGGTGGAGAGGGTACGTGGGGAGGTTTTGGTTTTGAATTGAATTTTTCATTGACAGCCAATTTCGAAGGAAAAGAATCGAAAAGATTGCCGATCGATTCAATATTAGATGTATCTAATCTTAGATGTACATACGGATGGGATGGATCGTACAGACGACGTAAGTCAGTACTAATGTATGTATTTACCGTACTCGGTATGGTAAAGCTCAGCTCTCATCCCCAGGTCCCAAAAACCCCAACTCCTGCATTTTCCCCCTCAACTTCTCTCCCCCGCAAGGACGCAGCGACCACACTACCAACGCCGGAGGAATACAAACTCCGACCTCCCTGCCAATGTGAATCGCCGATGAGGATCCGGTCTAGACTGTTTCCTGCCTAGTGAGACTCCATTTGGGGGGCCTCAGTGGCTCATTTCCATTCCCCGCTTTCTCTTTTGATCTTGTCTTTTTTTTTTTTTTTCTGCCCTTTTCCGCTTCGCTTGTCGCCAAGTCGCAAATGGGGGAAAAATATTACGGAACGGATCTCCTTTCTTGGGCGAAGGTTCACCTTCGATCATTGCCGATGGTCGATTACCTACATTCTTCCCGTTCCTCTCTTCAACTTCCCTCGCCTGAACTCCCCCTTTCATATCCCCTTCCAGCCCTTTTGACATCCCCCCTTTCCAAAATTAGTATCTGCTCAGTGAGTTTCGGTTTGGGACTAGTGAATCTCCTTCGACTATCAATCTATCTTCGCCCCGGTTATATTGTTGGTCCACACCCGCTATTCGGATGCTGCACCTTCACCGTCGACGTTACCATCCGGTATGCGATCCCGCACAGGCTGGTACGTGGCCCCCAGCTTTGTCTATAATAAGAAAAAAGAAAAAAAAAAGATATAGATTATACCAAATACAATATCTATCTACAACATGCCTATGTCCACGCAAAGAGATTTATTTTCTTTCTCCCGTCATCTTTCTGCTCTTTGTCGTGAGTAAGGCAAAAGATGATCAGTAACTGACTTGTCCGCTTCGTGTCATGCAGCTTAACGTGTCGTACTCGAAAACTCAAGTGTACGTTGTTCGCGCTTTCTTCCCTTAGCGGTTACGATCATGGAATGCGAAGGACTAAGACCAAGTGATGGATAGGTGATGAGCAAAAGCCCGAGTGTTCGCAGTGTCGCAAAGGCGGCAGAGAATGCCGCCCCAGCGAAGGGATCGTTTTCCGCCATCAGCAAAATGCCTCGATGAATAAGGACCCGGATGATTCCACCGGTGGACGGGGCACGTTGAAAGGCTTCTACTCGTACAAGAACACTTTTGATGAAGATAGTGTATGGTTGGATATCCCGAAACATGGTATGGGCACACCTCCCCGGGAAAGCGATTTGCATAGCCCTGCAGTGATGCGCGCACGGTGGTGTCTGCGAGAGACGGTTTGACTGACGGACTTACCTCGGTAGTTATCTTTGTCGACAACTCCGATCCGTATGTGGAAGACCTCGAAGCCGCCTTGGGAGAGTCGGAAGCGGCTATCCTCGCTGCGAATGCACAGAATCGACACTGGAACGCTCAGCGGGCCATATCTTTGGACGGAGAGACCCAGGGTTTGAAAGCGCTATCGGCGGCAGCCGCCCACGACCAACTCCCGTATACCTCTTTGAATATGGATCAACAGCCTTTAGCCACCCCTGACAGTGGCGTAGCGTTTAATGCGGTTCCAGCCACCACTGTGACGACTGGCCCTTCGCCGAACCCGACATGTAATGCGACACCCGGTCAACCATCTCCACCGGTTTCGATTTCGCCCTCTAACAGCACCAATAATAATATCAACTTCCTTCTTAATCCCTCTCAATCTCTTTCTCCGCAGACGGACCCTAATCTGCAGTATGCAACGACACGTAGAAGCTCTTCGCTAACCGCAAGATCGGTAGCGTCGCGAGGTGTGGGCACTGTTGAATCCAAGCCGGACATACCGGTGGAGACCGACCGTGAAATCATGTTCCTATTGAGGCATTTCTCCGAGTCGCCGGGGCTCTGGTAAGTTCTGTGGATTCGCTTGATGCTGTGCCAGACCGTTAATATGTGGTGATAGGATGGATTTATTCGACCTTGGGACATATTTCGCATCATACGTGCCGGCCAAAGCACGGTCCAATCCCCTGCTGCGATACGCCGCTTGTGCGTACGCCGCGAAGCAGTTGGGCCGGGTCAAAGGCGCGAGACCCCCTGCCGGTGAATTTGCCTCCACACAGTCTCTCATGCGACGAGGACCGGATTCGAAGAACGTAGACTGGATCTGGCATGGCGCGAAGTATTATGAAAAAGCCATTCAGCTGCTGATGAAGGAGTTGCAGCCTGACAAAGGCCCCGCACCACTCAGCACCCCCGAGGCATTTGGCCAGTGGCAGGCGGCCGAACTGTCGGAGAGTAATGACCCCAATAACCCACGAAAGCGCCGAAGGCGTTACTCAGAGAGTCGATTTTCAAATGGGGTCCACTCGGATGAAGTCCTTGCGGCAACGGCCATCTTGTCTGTATATGAATTCCTGGATGCCACTGGCCCGGCATGGAATCGACACCTGAGTGGAGTTAAATCTTTGCTGGATGTGGCAGAGGTTGGCATGATGCCCCTTGAGCAACACCCTTCACCCGGAGAAGCGCTGCCGCAGCCGTTGAAGAGAGCCGGTCTTTCCAAGGCCCGAAGGGCCACCTTTTGGAACTTTGCCCGGCAAGATTACCTGGCGGCCTGTAAGTGTATCCCGGATGCCTTTCGGCGATCTTGGCGACGTCTAGACTCTAACCCGCGTATTGTAGTCATCAATGAGTGTAACACCAGGCTCAATACCGATGACCTGGTACTTTGGACTGAAGCTGGTCTTCAGATAGATAACATGGGCTTCATAATTCCTAGTAATTCAAACGCCGCCGGTTATCCTGAAGGTGATGATGTCATGAAGGAAGACCTCATCGGGAATGGCCTTATATGGATTCTTTCCAAGATCATTAATTTCATCAGCTCGGGGGACAATCTGCAGTTGGCGAGCGGTCCCGTCAACACCGGGCCCCTGGGTATTTCGCAGCAGGTTTTGCTCGAGCGGTGGTATCGCCTGGAAACCGAGCTGGATGTTTGGTACAACGGTCTCCCTGATACCTTCTGGCCCTGCGCGCGGCTGGAGCACCCTTTGCAGAAAGATGGCGATGGTGACGGTGACGGATCTGCTTTGTCTGAGATCTGGTACAGCATTCCCGTATGCTCGTCAGCTATGCAGCATTACCACATGGCCCGTATTTTGCTTTTGATCAACAAACCGCATGAGTCGACTAGTAGACGGAGTACGATCACCAACCGGCTTAATTCGTATCGTTCCATCGAGAGTGAGATCCGATTTCATAGTCGTGAAATCGTAGGTATCTCGATGGGTCATCCGGAAGGCTCGGTCCGGATCAACTCTCTCCAGCCATTGTTCGTTAGCGGTCAATGTCTCACCGAGCCTCGCGAACGTGAGATGGTTTTACATTTGCTGCGTGGCATAGAGTTTGACCTTGGCTGGGCCACTGAGTATCGCGTAAAGCAATTGTTGCGGGAGTGGGGCTGGGATGAGCAAGCTAAGGTCGGGGTTCCTTGATCTCGCCATGACTGCCGTTATTTCAGTCTTCAGCTCTATCAAGGCCCAAGTAAATTTTACTTGGGTGTTGTCGCCGCAGGCTCTGCGCTGCCCCTGCGTCGACCATAACTGATGGTCACAAATGCCACGAGAGATGCGGCTTTATGTCGGTCAAGGACCGGCAAACACCTCACCCGGCCGGGCGTCTGGATGATATCTTTTTGGACCGACCCAAACGCCCATGGCCGCGTCCACCCTTGGGGGAGGCTATATTTCACTTCTGCGATTGCCTTGGATGCTTGTTTCGATGATTTGATGATACCACTGTATATGTACCTTTGCGATAATTTGCCCGATTAGTCTGGGGTTGGATCTTGCGTGTGCATGAGACCAAGAGTGAATAATGATATCCTTTTATGATTTGGGTTTTCTAGTTTGGCAGTGATTTCTCTTGCGTTGGAGCATCGTTCTTTTTTACCCACTGGTCAACCGTTGGATAAACCAGTCACCACCTGTATAAATTAGTTGAAACATATGGCAGAATAGATGGAGAAGTCGAAGTTGGCACGGAGGCACAAAAAAAAAAGATCTTCACAGAGTTTTGAATTTTCCTTTTTTTGAACTTATTTTTTTTTTGTGGGGAATGTCCTCCAGAAAGAAAGAACAATACCTGGGTATGATCTTCACACGACTGGGGAGAACAGGGAAGGTTTTGTTGACCATGGACTCGGCTGAGTTGCCTGAGGATGAAGCAACTCCCGAGGGCATCCGCACGTGTCAACTACCCGTTTAAGTTTCCACGCCAATAACTTGGCATTAAGCCCTATCCAAACGGGACCGAATAGACTTTTTTTTCGGCTTTCACTGAGATCCTGGTGGATGCTCGTCGGATGTGGGCTCGGCTTAAGGAGGAAGGTTTTCTCTTTTTTTCCGTCTTGCTCGCTGGGGTCTTGAAGCGTCGAAGGGGTTCTGTCTGCATTAGTTCGGCCTATCAAGTATCTCGACTGCAACTGCAGAAGACCATCTTTCGTCACCATGGAAGGTCTTCCGATCAGGCAGGCCCCGCAACCTTGCCCTGACGAAAAAATCTGGTTCTCTGAACCTCATACCGTCATCAACCCGCAATGATCTTCAGGATCGTGAGGATCTTCCTTTTTTGCCTTCCGCTTCGGGCGGCAAGGCGGGTTTCCCCATCCGATCGTCCCGGGCTTCACCGTTCCTCAAATGTTGCCAACTGGGAGTCAACAGTCAGGAAAGTTTCCCGATTCCGTAGAATATTCCTCGGAGACGGCGATTGTCTGTCCTCTGATGCAACCTGCGAATTGCTCTGTACATTCAGTCTCTGGAAAAGAAGATCAATGTCGATCGCCCTGAAAAAAGGCTCATGGTTCACCGTCGGAAATGAACCCAAGAAATTCACGGGTGGATTGGGGGACGGGCTTTGCCATTTTAGCAGACCCCGGGTCAACACGGATGCAAACGCAGTGTTAGTTTACTCATTGTGCTTGTCTGTCGCTGGGGTCTCGCTGGGGCTATCGGACTGGCACTCTGGGGTTCCTTGTTCCTCTGCAGCAGTACCCACAGGTGGGCCTTGAGGTCATCGCAACCGAGGATATGCCAGGATAATAACCTGCTTGTGGAGTGTGACGTATGTTCACGATTTGTTGACTGACCTCACTACATAATAGATGAAAGCGATCCGAACCGTTTTTCACATGGTGCCGAGAGATGATTCTCGCATCGCTTGCCTTGAGTCCTGATCGACGCGACAGACATCGCCCCCAGGCTGCATGGCACAGTTGCCGCCCACCGCTACCTTCCAAATAGAACCCCACCGTCATTTGTTCGATGGGGCTTCAAATATATGAGTTGTCACAACCGATCCTCGGCTACCTTACCCCGACAATTGAGGATCTGGGGGTGGCGTACTGTTATTTTATGGGTCGCCGACCCTCCAGTAGACGGCGATCAACGGCGGTAAAACTCAGATGTCTGAATTGGAAAAGTAACGCGGCTGGCGAGGGGAACTTGTGATTTTCCGTATAGAACTGTTATAGATGAGCCCAAGGAGGGCTGTAGGGCGAATGAACCAGTCTCAACCGTTCAAATAAACTAAGGGGCAACTCGACCGTGTAAATGCCAAGGATCCCCGTCTGCTCAGAAGCTTAGGGTTAGATCACAGGAAGCTTCCTGATAATAGACTTTACTCAAGCTCACGCTCAGGACCTCTTGGTAGAGGTCACTAGTTAGGTCCATGGTTGTCGGAACCATCCACTTTATCTTAACGCTATCCCACCCCGTAAAGTTGGCAATTTATTGACTCTTTTCATTTCGAATTTTGTCAGATACATTATGGAAATATCACCCGAAATAATAAATATCCCCCTCGCGGATAACGACCGAAACTATGATATAGTGTAGGGTACTATCTATCAACAACACCTAAATAATTATCTAATGTCCTGATAACCCAATAACAAGCACTGACCGTCGGATAATCAAGCACTATTATCAGAACTGAGTACAGTGAGTACATAATATGGATTTGAAAAACCCAGAATGAGAGAAAGAAAGCGAAAAAGAAAAAAAAAAAATCCCCGGGGCCTGAAAGCGCAGCACAGTGGTGCCAAGATATGATACTAAATTGTTGATGTAAATTTTGAATGTATTCATTAACGACCATTCTGCCATTCTATCGGAAGTTGCTTCATGGTATAAAGTAACTGGGTAAAAAGGAGATACGCGTGAAATTATAATCTAGCGCGAATAGAATATCTATAGTATCATTCCATTTTCACCACTGAAGTAAAAAGTAATAAAAGCGAGCCACAATTGGTACAAAAGCGCCGTTGACTTCCTTTGCACTCACTACCGTAACCGACCTCGCATTCGTTTGGTTAGTATAACGTATTTCCCGGGCGAGTGGGCCACACGGGCGAGCGGGCCACCTCCGCTCCGATCCTACCTCTAGCTGAGATTGTAGGGCCTATATCAACCAAACAATTGTATTTCTATATAAGAACTAATTACTAAGTGGATTAGGACATCTAACCCTAGTATGTCCCCGAATATGATAATTAGAACACTGCGGTGGCGCTTGTATGCGCTGCCTAACTGTAGAAAGCGCTGGATCTATAGGGATAGTGTCCTGGGCTTTCTGAATCTTATTCTCGTGCTGGAAGCGCTCTAAGCTCTCTTGAATAGCTGAGCCCTCTTCAATAGCTAGCTGTCTAGTAGACTACTTTTGCTTTTGACCTTTCCATTTATTTTCAGTACAATATTTGTGTATTTCATCCCGTGCAAGAACAAGCTTATTAAGTGTTAATTTATGATCTTTAATAATCTTGTCTAATTGTGTTTCTAGCAAAGGTAAAGAACTGTAGGTATGTTCTTTAAGCAGTTTTCTTGCTGCTGATGCCTGCTTCTCTAGCTGCCTAGTAGTATAGGGTGTTTTAGGCGCTGAATTAGTTGACCGACTGCCAGGTGGTGTAGGGGTTTTTAGTCGGATATCTAACTTGCTAAGTACCCTATCAGGATCAAATAGAACTAGACCAGTGCCTGCAAAGCTATTCTAAATATTTTTTACTGTAAAAGTGCTTTTGCGAGCTTCTGGTAAGATTTTTAGAAAATTAATTTTATCAATATAATTGACTCCTAAGTGTGCTTTCTGCTCCACTAAGCTCCCGTACGCGCCTTTTAGAGACCGAAAACAGTCTATATCTAAAGGCTGGAGCTTATTAGAAGAGTGTGCAGGTATGTAGATAGGAATAATATTATTCTCACTGCAGATTTGGTTAAATTGAGGTATAAGATGGCTGCCATGGCTATCAAGAACTAGAAGGCGGTATTTCCCAGTTGTATAACCAGTAGTTACAGGAATAAAGAGATTTTTAAGCCAGCGAAGACCTATCTCATCAGAAGTCTATTTATTAGGACTAACTTTAATCCTGCTATTAGATAGGAGCTTGTTGTTTTGATACCAGTCCTCTATATAGACCTTCCCTTTAAAGATAATACAGGGAGGAAGTACCCAACCAGTGGAGTTGATACACTCAATAGAAGTAACCCATTCCCGATTGCCTGGCTGTATAAGAAGCGGTTTCCTATAGTAATTAGCTCTAGTAACTACTTGAGCAGTAGTTACTAGACCCATAGCGAAGCCAGTTTTATCGAAATTGTAGATATCTTTCTGTGCAATTCTATGTTGTATTATAGTGATCTGTACGCGGTCAAATCACTCCTTAATAACTCTAGGATCTTTGTATTTTGCACGTCGATAATCATAGTGTCGAGAATAGCGGGTTTTTATTTTATTACGTCGTTTAATAAAGCTAGAGACCCAGTTCTTTCCAATAGTCTAAATAGATACTGTACCGCGCAGTAAGAAGAATATTGGCCATTTCTTATATATAGGATGGTCGGGGAGGTGCTCCATGTCGATCTAGTGATAGAATCCATTGTACAAGCGAGTCCTCTTCATTCTGGGTTAATTTATGGCTGTTGGCGCGTGTTTCTGCGCGTGAAGTGATCCTATTAAGTCGTTGTTGGAGAGTTGTGCGAGGAATATTATAGACATGCGCTGCTTCACGAATATTGTAAATCTTCTGTTTTTTTAAAGCAGAAATAGCAAGCAGTAGACTTCCCTCCTGCTTAGCTAAGTCTCTTGAATTTTGACGCCCTTTTGGAGGCATGGTTGATGGTTGAATTGAGTGAGGCAATAAAACGCGTAAATTTTTAATGAGGTGGCCCGCTCGCCCGTGTGGCCCACTCGCCCGGGAAATACGTTAGAGGATTGGGGGTTTAGGTAAGCAGGCTGATGATGCCCTCGGGGCACTAAAATTGCAGTACAATGTAAGAAGACCATACCCGATCTGGGTGACCTACGCAGTACTCATGGGAACTAAAATTGCAGTACAGTGTAAGAAGACTATACCTGATCTGGGGTAACCTACAGAGTACTACTAGATAGCGGGAGGTATTAAGTTAATTCCGATTTGTGGAAGAATACTCGTACTGAGTACCCGGCATGTACCAAGTACTCGTGAGAACTAAAATTGCAGTGCTGGCACAAGTTGACGGGCCTGGTGCTGGCATCCACAGTAGAGACTGCGGGATGCTAACGTGTTATCCTCTGGAAATTGGATTGGTAGGCTCCACCCTGACTGAAAATGGCATGAGATGATACCTCGGGGGAACTAAAAGTGCAGTGTTGTGCTCGGGGCATAGTTGCAACTCAGCATACCAGGCAGAGCGGCTTAGACTATATAATGCCGGTAGAGATAGTTTATCACGGTCCTTTAGGGGAACTAAAATTGTAATATATTGACAGTTGTTACAATTCTTTGTAGTGGGTCCCTACTGTACGATAATATATTCTGTTCAGTGGGAAATACCGGGAATGGTATGTGATGAGGGGTTATAAAAGTGCAGTGTAAGTTGGAAGAAAACCACTAGGATTGCAGTAGAACAAATTGGCCCACATGGTGTTGGACATAATTTCCCGAGTCATTGTTCGGGATTTCTTGGTAGTAATCTTACGAGGTACTGGTTTTCTTTGTACTGGAACTGAGAGGGTAATGTAACTCAGTGGTCTTTGCCTAATTTCCTTCGTCTGTTGCCTGAGGCAAGACTAGGGCTGAGATCTGGGGAAGGATAGAATAATTATCGAGAGAAAACTTTTCCTGTATACACAATACTGACCCTAATGACGATTAGAGTGATTTATCCAGCAGACAATGTCTCTGGGGAACTAAATTGCAGTGTAGTGACCCACAGCTCAGATTCAGGTTTGATCTGGGTGGCTTAGACAGGTATATATTCCGATTGGTAGAAGAGGACCTGGTATAACCACTCGCAGGGGCTAAAATTGCAGTGCGCACTCGTATCCAAGTCGTCCTCTTAGTGAGACAGCTAAGTAAACCAATGTACCTAAGTGTTTGCTGAACAAATGCCATGTTGGTAGTTTACAGAACAGGGTTTGAGGGAGCAAATGAAATCTACTTGAACTGGTTGTGTATCTGAAATCGATCTTCTATCGCGCAATATATTTTAGCCTCAAGACAAGTCTCTGTGTATGTAGACACATGCCTTGGAAGGCTGCCTTTTGTCTTCTTCTTATTTTACGGAGAGGCTGAAGCAGATACTGTTTGGCGAGAATAAGCCCCCATGAGACTAAATTTACAGTGCAGTAGTCAGCAAAAGCGGCCACTCAGTCAGCGGCCAATCTTGCACTGTTTTCCCATTGGCAGATATTCAAGCCGGCGTACAACTACAACCCCTCCTTTACACTAAAATTGCAGTGCGATGAGGTAAATAGTGATAAGTGTTTGGGCAGACAGTCCCTCCCTCGCAGGGACTTAAAGTGCAGTACAGTGGCAAATTTTAGCGTCGGTTTGACCACAAGCGCATCTTTTTCAAGTGGTTCTTGGTGGTCTGTTGGCCAATGATGCAGAGTAGTAAATGTGTACCCATACGAGGCTCTTCGAGTTGGTAATCTCTCGCAGGGACTAAAAGTGCAGTACAGTGGCAAACTTTGGCGTCGATATCCGCAAGCACATCTTCTTCCAAGTGACTATTGGTTGTCTGTTGGCCAAATGATACAGAGTACAAATTACTTAGACGAGGCTATTCGAGTTGACAATCTCCCACAGGGCCTAAAAGTGCAGCGTAGCTGGGCCACTATCATCTTTAACGCAGGCCAAGTACGTATCTAGACGAGGCTATTCAAGTTGGTAATCTGTCGCAGGGACTAAAAGTGCAGTACAGTGGCAAATCTTTTTGGGTTTTTCTCAAAAGGTGCAGGCCAAGTATACTACGTATACCAAGACAAGGCTATGTTAAGCTAGCCATCTCTCACATGGACTCAATGTGCAGTGTTGCTTAGCCACTGTCATATTTAACGTAGGCTAAGTGCACTCTAGATGAGGCCATGTCAAGGTAGTAATATCTCAAAGCGACTAAAAGTGCAGTGTAGCCCCGAGTATCTGTTCAGTGTTCCGTCCGGGAAACCCTTGGGAGACACAATCGGCTGGGAGAGATCAGCACTAGTAACACAAAGTGGGAGATTAAACATTGTAGTTAGATAATATGTATACACAAGCCTTATAGTATTTGCTCTATTTGCCAAATCTAAGATTTTGATACAATTTCCTAGCTTGAAGCTCAGACTTGGCGGTGCCAAACTGGATTATTGTACCATCATCATACCTCCGTATGTGATCTATCCAGCAGAGGAGTGATTCTCTGTTTTTATTATGGCAGAACTCTTCCCGTTGGTTTCGCTTCTTTGGCCAACAGGAGCTTCCCAAGAAGTGGCGGACTGGAGGTGTTCGAATTGGGAATATCAGCTGTCACAGGACGCCCCTGGGAGATTGGAAATAGTAATTGATTCTTTTACAATACAAAATGGTCTATGCTTATACGTCGCCCATCTCGCCAAGCAAGCTATCGAGGTTCTTCTGAAGCTCGGCATGTTTGGCGGCCATGTCATTATACTTGGCCTCCCACTGGTCGCAATCGGCTTGAAGCGCCTGGGCACGACGCTCATAATGACCAGCCTGGATATCATCCTCGTTGAATCTTGTCTAATTAGCGGGGATAATTCTATAAATATCTAATGGATTGAGCGATACATACAGTCTCTTTACCTCGCGGACTAGCTTCTCAGTCTCTTCGACCTGCTCCTCGAGCACTTGGTGGCGGGTTGATAGCGTAGCAATCTCTTCATCCTTGCTTTGATTATCCTGCTCGAGTTCTTGGATTTTTGTTGTAAGCTTTTCCACTTCGGATTGCGCTGTATCGGCCTCCGTCTGGAGGGTTTTCATTTTCTGTGGGTTTAGGTTAGTTTATGTTAATTGTTGAGGGTTAAGGCAGTGCTTGCCTCGCGAATACGATCCATGATAGGCAATTTTTTTTTTTTTTAATCTTCAGGTTTGGGTAATAATCTTATGGTTGGAAGGAAGAATGAAGATCGATAAACCCCCTGTCGATGATGACAGCTAATCGACTTCTCCACATGGTTTTTTTTTTTTGTGGGTCTAACCTATTGGAATTAGTCAGACGCAGTGGAAAAAACGTGATCTCTATTTGAAACATATTATTCAACATAAAAATTGTATGCAGTTGGGAAACAGAAAGAATTAGTGTTCGGTCTCACATCAGGATACAGAGTAAACATGACCGGGATATGTTAGGGTGGCTGTGGCTGTGTAGGGGCAGTGGGATACCTCCAGGCAATAGAGAGTGACCGACAGCAGGGGGGCGGTGCAATAGAAGAGTGTCATCGTATACACGGATGATTCTTCCAAGCATGCTGAGCTCACTATTTGCCCAAGTGTCTAAAGGCGCCTCACTGGGGCTTAGATGACGATGCACAGATGGCGTCGGCTGATTGGTACACTCTGGGAATGCAGTCAGCGGCAATTGGCTTTTAGTATGGAATCTTTCTCGGCGCTAAAGAAGCCGGTGTGCTTGGGGTTAAGCTGCAGTTTACCTGTGCAGTGTGCCCGGTGCCTGCCACGCCAGTTCCGGTTTGTCTGTGATATACGGGGGCTGTTGATTTGATTGTGATCTAACTATCGGCAGACCAGTCTTTCAACTTCCGGCTTGAAACTACGCTACAAAAGTGAATGCGGAAGCTCAAATATACTACCCAGCAGCCATCGTATTAATCTAGTAGAACACAAAGAACGATAAACATAGATTGCACTAATAAGATTAAAGTCCAACGATCGCTGCAAATGGAAGGAAATGAGGGTATATCGATATTATAAGCCCTGGGGAACACCGCACCTTTACTACATAATTGTGAAGATGAAAATCTTTAATACGAGGCAATACAGAAACAAGTACCGCGCAATCGCAGGACGAATCAGATATCATGTTTCATGGCAGTGGCTGAACCGTTCAGCCTTGCCGACATCTTTAACATGCGCTTCTCGCTCCTCGACGATGATCTCAACTACACACCGTTATGGATGAGCGGCATCGTCCTTTACGTCGAAATGACTTTGAAGTTGCAATCATTTGCACTTTACCACTGGAAGCAAACGCTGTGCTCTGCTCATTAGACGAGATCTGGCATGATGCTCTCAATACCTATGGCAGGGCTGTGGGCGATAATAACGCCTACGATTTTGGAAGGTGTGGCAGACACAGCGTGGTTGTCGTTACCTTACCTGGAATGGGAAAGGTATCAGCATCTACTGCAGCTGCTTGTCTCAGGATGAGCTTCAGTTCAATTAAGCTTGCCTTGCTCGTCGGAATCTGCGGTGCAGTCCCCCGTACCGGCCGCACGGAGATTATCCTCGGCGACGTGGTTATCAGCCAGAGCATTATTGAGTTGGATCGTGGTCGCCAGTACCCCAACGGCTTCAGAAGAAAGGACACCATCCTGGACTCTCACGGGCGTCCTAATGAAGACATCTTGGGGCTGCTGCAACGTTGGAATGCAACCTTTCACCTGAAAAGTCTACAAAAGAAAACAACGGAAAATCTCAAAGCCCTTTTACAGCACCCATATGCCGAGGCACGGTACCCCGGCGCAACTGAGGACAAGCTCTTTGAACGCGACTGTATCCATCAACACCATTTCGGCTGCGGGGTCTGCAATATGTCAGCGGCACCAGACTCAGTATGCGAAGCAGCTCTAACAGCTGCCTGTGATGAGCTTCAATGCGATGAAAGCAGATTAGTCCCGCGTACTCGGTTACTCGAAAGAGGTACAGACTGCGAGATCCCGACTCCGCTAATACACTTTGGCCTGATTGGCACTGCGGACACGGTTCAGAAGTCAGCGGCGCACAGGGATGAGCATGCAGAGCTAGAGGGTGTGATAGCGTTCGAGATGGAAGGGGCTGGGGTCTGGAACAAGTTCAATTGTCTGATAATCAAGGGCGTGTGTGACTACGCTGACAGTCATAAGAACAAGAAATGGCAGACCTATGCAGCCGCAGTTGCTGCGTCAGTTGCAAAGGAGATTTTGGCGCAGTACGTATCACACGACCGGCCGTCACAGCCGGGAACGCCGAATGGTGAGGCCATTTCCACCCGTTTAATTGCCGTCTTTCACTCACGGAAGGGTAGGTAGATCCGGATATTCTACACAACATTCCGTGATTTCTCGTGGTCGGTTAGCGCTTCAAGTAGTCCCCGACTGGTTACCCAATGATATGTTTCACAGGGTCACCAAGCACTTTAAAGAGGGCCTACAAAAGGAGCAGTTGGACAGCTTCAAGCCCACAGACCTTCGTGCTTTGAAAAAAGAGCTGAAGAAGATCCAGGATGAACAGGGGCAATCGCACTCACTGAGGAATCTTCGGCGGATTGAGCGCTTTATTCAAGCCAATGAGCAGATTGGGACCGTGCTTGAGGATATCCTAGGTACTAGCGACGAGATGTATCTCATTTGGGGGCCAGTAAAGGCCTTACTGCAGGTATGAGTCTCTCATAGCCTCTCTACATTCTTGTCTAATGTGGCGCTAGGTAGCAAAAAGTAACGTGGAACTATTCGATACGCTCCTGGCAGCCTACGAGAACATTGGCAATGAACTGCCAAAGCTTGGTGCTTACCGAGACTTGTTCAAGCAACATGTGGGCTTGCAACGGGTACTAGCAAGAGTATTTGCCCTCATCCTGGAATTTCATGAGAATGCGATTAAATTATACTCCGGGAGAGGTGGGATATCACGGTTCCTACTTGATGAAGGATACTGACTTTCCTCACTACAGCCCTAAGAACCGTATTTCGACCACTCTGGAAGGACTTCGAAACAACACTATTTGATCTCATAGTGCGTGAAACCGGCTCCCATAAGATAATGATTGAAGATGAGATAATGGCCTTATACAGCCACCCGGGACACTGTGTAATGAATGCGCAGGAAATCCGAGACCACCTCGAGAGCACAAGCAACAACATGCGCTTATCCAAGCAGGAGCATCAAAAGGCACGAGAGAAGATGTACGATGTGGTCAGATGCTGGATTGCAGGCGCTGCAGGGGTTTCAGGTGTCGAAGACGTTGCAGACGTCATAGGTGCCGAGACCGAGAGTGATCACAACAACATCTGTCGTGACCGAAGCTTTTACCCCGGTAGCGGTAGCTGGATTCTGGACAACGAGAAGGTCAAAAGATGGCTATCTCCGGAGCCGGAGCAGTCGTCCAACTCTATGCTATGGATCAATGGGCGTCCAGGGACAGGTACTACTCAATACACCTTGCGTCCTTGTACACAACTCTCTAACGCATGCACACACCAGGGAAAACCTATTTAGCATCGATCATAATTGAGACTTCCTTGGAGGATTCCTCGTCGGTCACATGCTACTTTTACTGCAAGGAAAAGGTAAAGTCGAGAAACTCTGCGATTGCAGTACTCCGTGGTATTCTCTTGCAACTTGCACGTCAGCACCGCGAATTGACCCCTTACTGCCATGCAAAGATCAAGAGTTCTGGTAGCCTCATGTTGTCGGACCTATCCACGGCAAGTGGTATTCTGGAGGTATTCTGTGAAAGGATATCTCGATTGAATGTGGTAATAGACGGAATTGACGAGTGTGAAGAGCAGAGAAAGGACTTGATTGACATATTTAGAATCTTGGTCAGGAAAAACGAAACCTACGCGAAAGGAAAACTTCGTGTCCTTTTTTTAAGTCGGCCCATGAATGAAGTCAAAAACGCCATACCGGAGGCTGACATGTTTGCTCTGGAACCGGACCACAACAGGCAAGACATCCAAAGGTATTGTGAACACAGGAAGCGCGAGTTTCAAAAGTTTGGGTTTACCAATGAGTACCTCAAAGATGTTGTGCAGATTATTTGTACAAGGGCCGATGGTAAAAGTGGAAAGTGGATCCTGAAATATATGGTGACTTCTAACATTTTTATAGGGATGTTCCTGTTTGCTAAGCTGGTCATGAACAACTTGAAAGAACAACCAACGAGGGAAGACTTTCGTATTGAGACCACCGCTGCGATATTGCCCAGTGAGATCGACCAAGCGTACGTGGCCCTCTTCTGCCAGCGCCTGCATGTCCGTTGCATAGTCCGTCCTTGGCTAACCGCTGGGTAGATATGCCCGAATCATGGAGCGCCTCTCGCGTGACCTCGGTTCAAAACAATATGAATATACAGAATTGTTGCTCGGCTGGTTAGTATGCTCGAAGAGGCCTCTAAAGTGGACAGAAATCCAAGTGGCGCTATCCACCGATATTAAGACATGGGGCCGCTCGAGTGAAGTGAATCCGGACCGCAGACTGGAAGACGATGTTCAAGAATTGTGCGGATCCCTGGTTCAGGTGCTCCAGGGCAACCGGGTCGAGCTTGTCCACAGCACCGCCAGACTGTAACAAATCTCTCTTCTCTCTTCTAATAAAGCCAGACACTAACATGAAACTAGGTTCATAGTCCAGAAAAGCAATATACGGATATCTTCAGCGGAATGTGACCTCGCCCTTCGCTGCCTGCGGTATCTTAGTCTTGACATCTTTAAGCCTGATATTTCCGCCCAAAGCCTCCGGGAGAATGCTCTGAGTGGTGACTTTGGCTTCCAGGATTATGCGGTGTCAGCCTGGTTTCTGCATATAGGGACATTGATAGAGAAGAAACATGATGTCCTGGAAGGGATCATCGACAGCCAAGACCGGGTCGCAAGAATATCCCGAGAGCTCGAGCATTTCGTGAGCTTCTATCAAGCAAGCTTTCCACTGCACGACAACAACATTCTGGAGCAAGCATGGATAGATTGTGAATTCTTCCAACAGTATCCCTTTTATAATAACCTTGTCAGAATCTGGAACCATATCTGCGGCGCCCAAAGGGGAGACTTGGAATCGCGCAACGATGTGAGCATTCCTCTGCTTAGGAAAACGCTGGCTCGCAACCGGAAGCTGCTGGAAGACCTAAGCACAGATGATACAGTTGCTCTCTCCAGACTCTATGATGAATACCCCTTCCGGTGCCCTAAGGTGCTGTGCTTTTATTTCCACGAGGGTTTTAAGAATGCGATGGCCCGTGATAACCATGTCGATCATCACAACCGACCATACCGTTGCACAGTAGAGAGCTGTACAATGAACGGAATGGGATTTGCCGAAAAAAGCCGACTTACGGCACACACGAAGAGATTTCATCCCGAGGAGCGAGATCTGGGCGAAACGTTCACACCTTACAACCGGGCGAGGCCAGTAGGCGCCCGATATGAATGTCCTGTGTGCAAAAAACGCCTCGTGAGAAAGAATATTTTGGAGGACCACCAGAGAATTCATACCGGTGAGAAACCATTTCGTTGTTCTGAGTGTGGGAAGGGGTTTGCTAGGAATTATGACAAGAAACGACATGAGAAAACCCACGAGAGACGACGAAGATAGAACGCTCACTAGAGTCTTAGCACATATCTATTTCTAAACCTGAATTTTCATAATTTCTTTATCAGTGCACTTCCATGGCCCCTGTTTTATAGTTGAGAGCCTCTCATATCTAAAGCCTAGATTACTTTTGACGCATCTTCGAAAGAACATCTCAATATGCGACAGTCAACAATTATCCCGTAATTAAGTCTGATTACAGCCGCTTAGACTCAAGTAGTAAGGCATCACTCGATACCTTTTCATCATGAAAGAATTACATAATACCAACGCCCCTTCTGAGGCCTAAAACTGCAGTGAGGTCACCATTGGACCATTGGCAAGCAGCCCCTTAAAACACTCACATGAAATGCAGTGATCCTGGCGTGTAGCTCTCATATGAATGATCCTTAGTGGCAATATCTCGTCAAAGGCTTATCCAGATCCTCACCCAGTCTCTGTACAGTGACCTACAGTTGTAGTACGTATCTGGAAATTTGAGTTTACTCATGAAATTACCCATAATTTCCACTCAATCAGGTATAGCTATGTACGACATAGTTATTTTACAATAATTTGATATAGCCCGCCCAGAAGCAGTGGGCTCACTATGTACCACGGAAGTGCCAATACGAATTGTGACGTGTTTATTGGACGATACAGCCATACCAACATCGTCTAGGGGACTACAATTGCAGTGATACGGGGAATAAGCAGTGAGCACCCGATAGGTGGGAAGGAATGGACATCCTCTCTTGGGAACTAAAAGTGCAGTGCAGACAACAGACCAGCCAGTGATAATTTAGTGTAGAATTAAGCAAGTTTCCTAGTATTTATATTCTTAGTTTAATTGGATGGAATAGCGGATGTAATCCTCGCCTGAGAACTCATCGCTTCACAGGCCTAGTGGGTGTGGGACCGTGGGTCAGCCCCAGCTCAATGACAATCCCAGCTTGATAAAAAAGGGTTAGAAATAAAGCTATTCAGAACTTATATTTCCTACTATTCTATTAAATACTATAGTATTTCAATATCATATTAATGCATAGATAGGAGGACTTTTTCCATTCATCCCTGAATTCTTATCACCTATCTAAGCTTTCTATCTCTATTGTAGATGCTTGGATGCTTGAGCAGCTTGACTATTGGAAAGAGGCTCTAAGATACGGGGATAAATATTAGAAGTTACCAGTATCTTCACCTGTCAAGTCGATCAACTCAAGTTGAACTTCAGCTTGAGCACCTAGCTCCCTGAGCTGGTGCCTCAGCCTAGGGCACCAGTCGTCGGGCTCATCATCTAACAGACTTATTACTAGAGAAATACGACAAAGATGCGGCGTGTATGCTTTCCAATCTTTCAGCCATGTTTGAAGCACGCCTAGAATGGTGGAATGCTCCCACTCCCATTGAGGCCATTCTGGTGCCATTAGGTCAGCATTTTGGTACCTCAAGTCGTCCGTGATCACCAGAAATTCAATATTTCTTGGCATCAGATCCTGCCATCGTTCTGTTGTCCCTGGCACGAACCCTACCAGGAATGGCCATGGGACTTGAAGTCTTCTGAGCATGTCAAAATTGACCATCGCATGCAACGAGCCCTCCATCTTTATACCAGGAAGGAATTGATCATTGCCTCCGATATCGACATCGGCTGAGACTGTCAAATCTGCCAGAGTGCCTCGAACATGACTTATCGCGGCAGCAAACCGATCAAGATCGACGATAGGCGTAGTGAACCGATCTCTGACACCGTAATCGTAATACCATTGCCAACGAAGGGCCTCAACGTTCTAGGTGACTGCGAGCAGTTTACCGAGATATGATTCCCGGACAGTGGTCAAATCAAGTGAAATAAGTTTCGATGGTACAGGTAAGTGTGCTGCAGGCCACGTAAATTCAATCGGGTTCTCAATGGAGGCTGACATGCGTTGAACACTCGGCAGATATAGGAATGGCAAGATATCTGTTGTATTTTTGACCTTCTTATCGCGCGCTTTGTCCTCACCATTAGGGTATAAGAAAGAAATATCTTGTAGATGCCGAAAGTCGGGCAGACTAGAAATTCCGGGCTCGCAGATGGCTGATCGGAGTACCATACCGATTAGTGCAGTCTGTCGAGTGAAGTCATCGGCAAGGTACAAATATTTTAAATTTGAGAGCTGTGCTAATAGGAGAGCAACAAAAGCATCTATTGTACCTTGGCGTAATTCCTGTATCCAAAGGTCGCTATAGGGCACTCCACTTCCCCTGATGAATGTGATTATTTGGTCCAGTTCAGCGTCAGAGACCGGAATTTTAGGAATTTTCCATCGAAATTTCTCTACTAATAGGTAGGTGTCGCCCTCCAAGTGGACGTTTGTGATGTAAGCAGCCAGCTGAGGCCTGGATAAGATCGTCCGTAAGAGTTGAGTGATTGGGGGAGGAACGTGAGGGCGAGCTTTTCGCCAAGTCATTTGAATTTTCGAGTAGAGGAGTGGCTCAACGATTGTGCGGAAATCCTTATTGACAAGACATAGTGCATGGAGCTCAGGTCGTGATAGTAACTTGAATATCAAGTACAATATTTCCGCCGGGCAGCTGCCAAGACCGGTTGCCACCTGATGTTTCTAGTCACTAACATCAGCAATAGCCCTGAGAATACCCACATGAACGACCTACAGGTTCCATAGCCAGTAACAGCAGTAGTGTATGTTCACTGCTCTATTATGTATGCGTACGCAGGTTAAGGTGTCTGAAGACTGAGGCAAAGAAAAACTGAAAAGTCAGAAAGGTGTCCTTATGAAACCTCAGCAATAATAGCTGTAACCCTAACTTTTAGTGTACAGGATGCATTAAATCGCTGCTCAGTACTCCCCACTCATGGATCCACCAGGCTCAACCTCATTTGCAGTCGAATGTCGAATCGCTCATCTTTCCTAATTAGGAAAGGTCCATATAGATTTTCTATAAATAATATAACTTTAGTACTAATGAAAATAATAAAACACCGTAGTTTAGTTCTGCTGTATGAGGTGGTGGGGTTGGTGCTGGGTCATTCTTGTACGATTGGTTCTTTTTCGAGTTTTCGGATCTCAGGGAGGGGATCTGAAGGTTTCCTGGAGATAGTGGGAAGGTAGAAGTGACGATTGATAAAGATCCCAAAGCAATTGCCTACATTCTAAGACTGTCTGAACTCCTTCTGTGGGCCATTGATGTATCTCGCGTTTCTCAAGGCTATACCGTATGTGGTAGATCGAGACGTGTTCCGGCCAAAAGTCCTATGGTTCTTGTATAACTCGAAAGAAATAGTCCCACTTGTATTCAGCTCTTTGCTGACTTCTCCGTCGTTGTCTCCAAAGATCGCACCCATGCGATAGCGCACTCGACAGCCACACAATGACGTACAGTCTGCGTCCAACCGTACCAGACGATGATCTTGTGTCGCAATAACATCACGAGGATGTTTGTTAATAAGCGTTGCTAGAAATTCAGATATGGTTTCTCATCATTTCAGATATGCTCTTCTTCTGTCCGCGTCAGATATCGTTTAATTAAATCAATTTGGTTCTCGGAATGCTGCGGTCCATTCATCCATCGTACCGATTGCAGAAGCGCCACATTATCCCGTCTAATACCGATCAGGAATACCAGGATCTTTTTTGGCACTCAGAAGATGAAAGAATTGAGGCTGTATAGTACCCGTCGCGCCTCGTCGTAGGCCAGATGACTGACAGCCAGCAGAGCCAGAAGGTTGTTTTCAGGGTTGCGCCGAAGCCAGATCCCTTGCCGAATTGTGTAAACAAACGATGTCAACATTCGTTTTCTAAACGTGATCTTGCCAAAGCAGAGAACGAACTTGTATATAATGGATCGAAGTTCTAGATTGGACATATTAGCGAATCCGCCCCCTTCGTGACAACAACGCGGCGGAGCGCCGATTCTTTCTCTCAACAGTGAATTACCGACCAAAAGGGAGTCAAAGAAAAGGAAATTGTCCCTTTCGCTGCCAGACTTTAACCGTTTCCTCTTTAAATTGGAATAGCCCTCCTCGATCTCGGTGCCGTCTCCAGGTGCTTTTCTGTGAATCACTATTTAGAACATCGTCGTGCTTTGAATAAATAACATGTTCAATAAAATTAAATCGCCGGTTGATAATCTTGGAGCAAACTGGACATTGATACTGGCACTCTTTTCCTTTGTCACGGTCGAGGATCCTTTCAATCTTCAACATGTCGTGGATTCCATCTGCGGGTATTCGCAGATGTCCCGTGTAGCAGCGTAGGTGGTCACGGAGGCTGGTCTTGTGCACGTATTGCTTTTGGCAGAACGTACAGACTTGCGCTTGCCAGGGCAAACTGCTGTGGGAGCTTTTATGATTGTCTTTGTTGATACCGAGGCATTTCCAAGTCAAGGTTCGTGATGACGAAAGTTTAAGGATGTGGTAATTCTCACGCCATGATTCGGATTTACATCTCTAAGGCTCTGCCGCAGGCATCAACCGTTGCCTAATTAAGTAAATTGCTCAGGTACTCACCGCCCTGCAGATCCAGATCCCTTTCGTTCAACTGCAGGCAATATGAAGCTATGGAGGACTTGCATTCTTCAATTGAACCCTAAATCATGCCAAGATCTACTAACCTAGATCAGATATAACATGTCTAGACAGTATCTGATTAGTTAAGATACTGGATGCCCGGGTGGGCTATCCAAAATAGGTAAGAATTTCCATAACTACAATGATAGCTAAGGTAGTGACGAATTAAGCATCCACGACCCCAGGGTCCAGAAACAGTAAATGGAATGTAAAAAAAAAAAGATTCATTCTGACATGGCTAAATACTGCTAAAACAAGGTGCTAAATTCTAAATCATCATCATTAAATTCAATGCCCAAAAGTAATGCAATGGCAAATTCTATTACGAATGGATTTCTTTCCCTTTTCCGGCGGCCACCAGCCCCCCTAGACAGCGATTGCCGTGGCAAGATTAGCATTGAGGCTGTCTTTCAAGTCGTCCTTCTCGGTGTAGCTGTCCATTGGTGTGGGGAAAGCGAAGGTGTCTTGAGTGACGGTAGAATCCCGGGGAATATTCCGCTGAGCGGGCCAGATCTCGTGGCCGGCGGCGTCTTCCTTCTTGCTGTGTTCAGTGACGACCTCGCGAACGGTCTTCTGGAAGTGGAGAGGACCCATCTCCATCTCGGGGTGGAGCAGGCCGTTGACAAAGACACCGGCGTTCAGATTCTTCTGCGTGTGGATGCAGAGGTATTTGTCTTCAGACATGATTCGCTTGTACATGTCGCTGATAATGGTGAACTGCTCATCGCTAGCGTCCTTGTGCCGATAGACTTCGTAGCGCATGACCGACTTGGTGGGGCTCACAGGGGTAAACCGCTGCATGAAGAAGAAGTGTGGACTGGAAGAATAATTAGTAACTGTCTAAACTTGATGAGAGGAAGGCACTTACGAGACGTTGAAAGACGCATTAGGCCAGAAGTAGGTAGTAGCGATCCGGAAGCCCTTGTCAATCTGGTCCTGTCGCTGGGCACCGTAGTGCTGGATGTGGCCAGCTTTGGTCTTGACATAGTACGAGTTGAGATCGGCGATGGTAGGGATGTCGGGGTGAGCGACTTGGCAGTGGTAGCACTCATTGTAGTTATCGGCGAGAATCTTCCAGTTGAAGTCGCCTTCCATGTCCCATGTGTGGTCGAAGTTGTATTCATCAAAGTTGTAGTGCTGGAATCGGGGCTGCTCGTCGACTCCCTCGAAGTCGTCCTTCCAAGCTACCTCGGGCGTCTCGCCAGCATCGAGGTTGACCCAGACGAAGCCGTTTTTGTCAATGTGCGTGTGAGCGGGGGCGAGATCGCTGCTGTGGCAAGCCTTGATGTTTCCTTGGTGATCCTTCATGACAACGAATTCGTAGCCAGCGGCGTCATACTGGACCCAGTCACCAAGGTTCGGGACGCGGGCCTTGTGCGTGGTGAGAAGCCACTTGCGGGAGAAGATAGATCGCCGTTCAAGCTGGTACATGGCCTGAGAGGTGTACCAGGAAGCGGGCAGAGCACGGATAGGAGTTTTCTCCTCCTCCTTGACCGCCGTAGCGGAAGTACCAAAGAAGTTCCTCAAGAAAGACATTGTGAAGATGTTTTTTGTTATTAGGATAACTAGAGAGATTGAGACTCTGATAGTTGGATTTTTGCTTTGGAGTTGCTGTTGATTACACTTGATCTCGGAGATGTCTGCCCTTCTATATAGCTATCTCAATCATACTGACACGGAGCTCAAGAAACCCCATCGGACCCATATCCAGGTAATCACACCCGATACCGATGCCCTATCCATGACAATCAGGTGGCCAATTCCAACGGGAGATAGAGCTAGGTGCCGGTCAGGTGATCGGTAGGTTCAACAACGGGACCGAACCGAATGGCTTAAAGGTTATCAAGCACCCCCTGCCGTAAAGCCCAAAGAGTCCAGCCCACGCGTGGTTCCCCACCATTGGCTCTCCAGAGTCCTATCTTGATCTAGAATCACGAATGGATCCGTCCCCGGCGGTTCGGTGGAAACCCGTTCCACCCCCGGCGGTTTAAACATACCATAAATGGTAGTATTTATCATGAACCGTTCCCCAGACCGGCGGCCAACCTCAAATCCGGTTTTGCGGGGACAAGCCGCAAGGTGCTCCTAACAACCAGAGTGAATGATCAGGTTACTGCATACACCCAATGGCGATGGCGATGACAATGCCCGTGCCGTATTAGTAGTCACGAGAACCATCAGGGGCTGAGAGGCTGCAGAAGCCATGGCCTTAGGTGTGTCTAAAATAGATTCCGGGGTAGATAACCGTATCAGTTCTGATTGGTATGCGGTCGCGCCTACTATCTCGGAGAGCTTAAGTGTGATACGAAAGAAGATATGGTAAGTATGAGTCCCTTGTGTTTCCCATAATCACCGTTCTTTTAGTTCTCAGGGCACCAAAATGCCATTTTCATACATGATTGAAGCTTCAACTAGGTAACTGTGCTAGGGGCTACAGATTACGTCTGAACACTGTGGCGATACCTGGCCGGACTCCGGGCCCTGGTGCAGGGAGAGTTTACTGTAATTACATCAAAATGATCTAACACCAATCAAGGGAAGTATGCAACCTTGGCCCCTTGAGAGCTGATCTTACAGCACGGTTAACATTCCAGATCCTTCTCCTCCGATGTTCCAGGAGTTCTCGAATGTGATTGCTGGTGATGCAAGAATACTTCATGAGGGTAAGAACGTTCACGTGAGGGACGCTTCCAGCGAACCACATGTTTCTATTACATAGTCAATAACTTAGGGCATAAGGGCATTCAGCACAGCCGGTGGCTTTTAGTTTGGCAAGAGTATGTCGTCTAAAAAGTCTGTTTTGGTGCTAACTAGAACTCGACGCCTGAGCAAGGTGTAGGTGCACTGGTAACTATACCAGGCGATAGGGGTATGGCATTTTGGTACCCTCTTCTGGGGGACGCTTTGGCTCAAATTGTACAATAAGTGCACGTCTGCTTCGTACACATCATTGCCTCGAACTGGTGCTCCACAGGAATGTCGCAAGTCCTACCTGGTGGGTCCATATGATGACATTTAACCAATTCAGCTTCCCAGCCAGTCATATAGCCTTTACAATCTATAGTGATGCTCAGGATTCTAGCAAGCTATAAACTGACCTGAGAGATTTTACCAGTGTCTCTGAATCATTGTCGATGCTCCGCGTTGAAGGCTTACTCGTGCTGCAACAGCGTGGCTGTCAAGTGGCTCCTCATGACAGTCAACATGGGTCCCATGTTTAAGGCTGTAAAGGGCTTTTCTTTTTCCTTCTCTTTTCTTTTGCCTTTATTAGTAAATAAAAAGTTCTGACCTTACCGAGAAAAGGCACGTTTGGAGAGAGAAACTGATACTAACCCCATCGAGTATTTTTTTTTCAGCCAGTAACGGGGTAGTCTTCAATTAATTTTTGTATTTTGTGTCTCAAATTGTGTAATGATAAACCGGATTTGAATCTAGATAGAACCGTCCTGGGCGTCCCATAACCTGTCTCAAATGGTGTGCAAGCTAGTCAAGAGTTGTATAGCCTTCACCACGATGAGGCGCTTCATCCCTCTCAGCCGTCTTGGTTACTTGTGTAACACGCATCGGCCTGAATGGAATACCTGTGCCTGGTAGTTAATTTCCCACTCATTATATAAGCAATATGTAAGATAACTATCCCGTGATTTGCCGATGATTGTGCAACCAGATCACCCTTTGATCAGGAGGTTATACGTATAGATACAGACCAGCGAGGTAATCCGGCTGTCGTACTGGTAGAGGTATTGCAGCCTTTTCTTTACCATATGGGAACTAATTGAATTAGATCTTTTTGATTGGCCCCCGAAACAGCTCAGCCAACGTTATACAAAGAGAGAGCAATTTCTAGATGTTGTCCCTACACCGTTGCCCGGTACACCCGGCACGCTTGGCTCCAGGTTCAATATGATATCCACATTATTGAGCTCAGGAGCGACCCTAGCTGGCTAAAGTGATTGGAATAATAAAAATTAGAAGCACCCAGGCGTATTTAAATCAGCTGAGCGAGGTCATTGTAGGAGTGCTTTAATGACTATTCAATTACCTTGACTTTCGGCTCTACTGGTGTCTGACCACCATGCAAAAGGTATGAAGGTTATTGTTACAGGAAAGCAAATCCTAGTGATATTTTTGATATTGTCCCGTAATTCAACGTTTTGCAATTAACTCGTCAGTATGTACAAAGCAAATTATTTACATCTAGATTTATCACATGATTAGGATTCGTAGATAACCGTTTATCCGGGCCAAAGGCACCGCTCTTGTCACCGCCTCCTTCTCTTGCTGTATACGCAGAATGCTTTTCGATATTTGGTTTTTTTTATTGTCCTGATCTCCGATCCGATAGAAGGACAGTATATGTTGCAAACAAGCTAATCCTGATTATGCTCCGATATGGTAGTGCTCTAGCCAAGATCGACATGGCGTTGCACGCCTTGTGATTACTATCCGAGTGGGCTCTCGCCAGGCGTGATAGCCAATAAGGTGTGCATATAACTCGGTCCGGTGGATAGGATGAAATTGCCGACGCTAAAGGGGTCCTTGAATGTGTTACTATTCATAGCACCCGGTCTTCCAACGGTCATCAGCATCTGTCCTCCCTCAAAATGCCAGTGTTGGCTGCCTCGGACCGCCAGCGATCGTACAGACCTAGAACCAAGAGAGGCTGTTCAACTTGCAAGTAAGTTGACCGACATTCCTCGATCTCCTATTAATTCCCATTCACTGTCATTTGTTGGGACTGGTTGCAATGACTGTTGTTCTGGATCTGACTGACTGTCGCATAGAAGTAAGACAGATCTGGTATCGTAGACCGTGGGATTCCACATACTAATCTGGACCACGTAGAGCGACGCATCAAATGTGACGAAGCCAGGCCCCATTGTTTGAAGTGCACATCAACGGGTCGCAAATGCGACGGGTATGAGACGCCAAGTCCCCCGCCTCCCCAGCCGAACACATGTCTCCGCCTACCCTATGTCTACTCCCAGACCCTGCAGTACTCGGGTAATACGCGGGAAACCAGATCGTTCCAGTTCTTCTATGAACGTACCGTTCCTTCGTTGGCGGGGCTTTGTGGGTCCGAGTTTTGGTCAGGACTTGTGTTGCGGGTCAGCCAGCATGAGACCGCCGTTTACCATGCGTTGATCGCATTAGGATCCTTGCACGAGAACTTCGAGAACGGCCACTGGCTGAGCCAACGAGGGATTGACACCTTCGCCGTTCAACAATATATGTCCGCCATAAGGGCGCTCTTGGGATCTTCGAACTCGTCGCCCTGCGTTAGTCCGGGCCTGCCAGCGGGCTCCCCACGAAGTCTAACAGTGGATGTTTGTTTAATCTCGTGCATTTTGTTTATCTTTATTGAGGTAGGCATGGCGTCTCTTAGTCTGAGCTCGATTCAACTAACCGTCATAGATAATGTCTGGCCATTACGTGTCGGCCGTCAGTCATGTTCGAAGTGGGATGAAAATTCTCAAGGATGTTCACGAGGACCCCCATTCAGGGACTTACCACCACCCGTCCTTGAAGCCATCGACAGTCACAAGCTTGGAAATGGACCACTTGCGGAGGATCCTCAACCGCCTCCAAGATCAGGCTCTAACCTTGGTACGTCAATCTGCGTCCCGTACACGGTTGACGATTGATTCTAATTATATAGACACGGACTGACGCGGACAAAGCTCTGAGGGATGAATTAAAGGTGGTGGGAAGCCGCCACGCCGAAATCCCCGAATGCTTTCTCTCCATATCAGATGCTCATGAATGCTTCGAATACCATGTGAGCCGACTATCTCAGGAGTATTCGGCAATGGAGTCAAACAAAGCAGGCATGACTTTGGACAAGTCTGTCAATTTCATGCAGCGAGCCGAAGCCCTTATGGACAAGTGGTCGGCCGCCCTGTATCGTTTTGAGGAGTCTCGTGGTTCTCAGCTCACCTACAGGGATTCCATCGGTTTGAAGACCCTACGAATCTATCAATGCTGGCGACTGGTAATGTTAGATCGGGCCAAGAGCGGAGTCACGGATCTTGAGTCGTGGGATAAGTACAACTCTACGTTTCAGATGATTGTCTCGTTGGCAGCGGCAGTGGTCAACACGACTGATACCGATGCACCCATATCGACGACATCTTTGTTGCCGTCTGATTCTTTCAGTGAAGGTTGTAAGAGGCCCTCCTTCTCCCTGGATATGGGGATCATATGTCCCCTATACGACGTGGCTACCCTATGCCGTGACCCCTTTATCCGCCGAGAGGCCGTCAAGGTGCTCCGGTCCGCCTCTCGCCAGGAAGGTCTTCTCAATAGTCACCTGTGCGCTGTCGTCGCGGAACGTGTGATCGAGCTGGAAGAGACAGCCGCCTTACGGAGCGGCACAGACGATCAGAGGTGTCTCGCATCTGCCGCATCACACCTGCGGGGTCTAAATTCAAACAGCCAAACTGAGGTTTCCAGCCAGCACATCACGAGGTCGTCCGAGGTGCCTCATGCTGCGCGATTCGTCTATGCTTACCCCAATTTTGATCCTCTTTATAAACAGGCCTTTCTGGTCCTGGCCGCTGACCAGGCTGGGGAGAATCATACCAAGATCCCCTTACCAGCCGTGACTGCTATGCTGGATATGGAGTAGCACTCTGCCCTGAATGCTCACTTATATTCCTCAGCTGTTGAACCTCTTCTTCGCTAAAGTGTCCTGGCTAGTCATGCTGATACCTATGAGCTGGATAAAGACGATACACAGAGATAACGACTCCACATTTTCGAATCGCCAAGGAATGTCATCTACGTTACCATGTTCCCTCCTCCATTACGGTCCCATTGTCATAGTAGTTGAAAAACTAGAGCCCCGGAAATCTTCCATAGCACACTTTGTCATACTGGAAAGACAAACTTGTGTATTATGCACCGTGTGTTTTGTCCAGATGTGATCGTCATTCCCAACGGCGTCATTGACGTATTTATCGTGGAGCTGCTTCAGATCCACGGCATTTATTCCCACTGGACTAAAGTCTACTTTTATGTAACACCAGGTGGGGATTTGTCCGTGGAAAAGTAACTCTAACACGTTCAGGTCGCTGAGTATGGGGGCAAAGAAACTCTTTGGTGCGGTCTTGAGGAAGCCTATCGCTTCTATCCCGTAACAACTTGTCCAGCTCAAGTGTTATGAACCGTGACTACTTGAATGGCCATTCATGTGGACTAAGCAGAAACTGAGGATACCAGCAAAATCTCTGAAACTCGCCCCATTGAACTCTTTGTTAGGGGAATATAGCCAATGTAACGAGTCGTTGCCCAGTACCTCAGCCCGGCTTGGCCACGAAAGTTAAAAAAATAAATAAATATTTAATAACAACAAGGAAATATCTAAGCTAGGCATAGTATAATACCTAAGTTAAATAACTCAGAGCGACATTGAGGGGTACAATTCACCCTTACTTATAACACGAGGTGGAGGACTGACCAGGTAGTCCTCCTATTGCTTTCTACATTTTGTCTTGACATTACCATAAACCATTGCTTTACTCAGCTAAGATGCGACAGATATTTATCATAATCGCTCTCTTCCTAGCAGGATTCGCGGCTTGTCAAGGCGCGGCTGGGTCCTCCCAGGGAGGCATGCCAGCAAGTTATCCAGAAAGCCCTCCAGGAAGTCCTAAACCAGGTCCTAAAGCTGCCGCCGACAAATCCCAGGCCCCACTTTCTCAGAAGGCATTAATGGAAAAGAGATGCCGTGAGATTAGCATACATGAAGCACCTCGCGATGATTACAGAGGAAGTTTGTATGCTTTTGTGGACACTATCTGCACCAACGACCCCAAGAATGATCCGAACCATCATAAAAACGCTTCGGGGAAGGACCGACATAAGCCGAAAGAGCGGAGTTCGACTGTCAATCTGGACAGGTGTCTTGGTTGGGATAAGAACAATGGCGGGCTTATCAAAGAGATTGAGTATGTACACTTCTCAGGTATAGCAATCATCCTGGTTTATTGACCTGTAGGTCTAGTGGGCATGCAACCTACTATGGACTCTGTTGGGGCTGTCACTACAAGCGAGGTACTAAAGATGGCGAAAATAATCTGTCATGTTGGTGTAAGCACGGTAAGGGTGAAAAGGTACAGGACCCAGCCACAAAGAAATTGGGTATTATGACACAATTTGACTTGGGTAAGCCCCCCCTGCACCATGGATTATATAGCTGTTCTTAACTAAAAGGTTTATAGGTCCCTTGTTAAAAGTCTTCCCAAGTGGCTCTGTAGGGTGCTCTCACTGGGACTATTCATAATGATGTTTTTGTCCGGGATGTTATATGCAATACTCCCCTGGAGTTGGAACCCCTTGTGAAATTATTTGCATTGGAATGGTGGTATTAAACTTTGGCATGATAACTACGTACTCTTTGGCTGCAATGATGTTCAATTGTGGTGAAAAGTAGTAGCGATGTACAGAAAGCACTAGGGTGTAAGGGAATAGCAGAGCTGCTGCGCCAAATAGTTGCAATTGACACCAAAGGATATGTCAGTCTACAACTATGAATAACTCCCAATTGATCCTTCGCGGAGTAGCGTGGAGGAGAAACCAATAACTGGAACAGTAGCCCCCGTTGTCATTTCTTCTGGAAAGGCGCTATAACCCCCTTTTCACAATATGCTCTAGCAACATCTTGTGAAGTATCATCTAATTCATAAGCGGATAGAGAAGGGCTATGGTATCTACATTAGGGTTTCAATACTTATAATCATCCTAGAACAAGCCCAAACCCAAACCCTCTAGGCATCTGAAAGATTCCACATACTATCCCTTTCTGTCGTGAAACGAAGAGCATAAGAATTGTTCGAACGCTGAAGCTTTGCTATAATGTGCAACAAGCTCTCACAAACGCGATTAGTCACTCATCCCGGCTTTGACAGAGTCTTCGATAACAGTGTCAGCGGTGGTGAATGTTATAGCGGAATGAGGGGCCTACGAAAACACTCGCCTTAGAGTATAAGACTAACATGAGATCGGTACAATCAAACATGAATTTCTTTATAAACTTCATAGACTTCAGACTACCAACTAAAAGACTCCTCTAATAGTGTCAATTTTACTGCTGGATTCTCTCTCATCAGCCTCGCTACAACGAGTCGTACCTCGTCCGCCATCCTTGAGGGACCACTGACAATCACGGCGACCTCTGTTCCCGCACACTTAGAGACTTCCTCCCGGAGAATGCGAGAAATATCCATACGACTGTTCTGGAATGTCACGGCGTTTAGTCGATCGAATCGCTCTGCACCAAGCGACACTACCACAGAATCAACCAAGGGCTTACTGCGTACTGCCCAGAACAACCTATGCCACCCCTCGTGGCGCATCAATATGGGCGCTAACGCTGTTACCCCAACACCACCCGCGATCGCAATAATATTGGTCATATCCGAGGCATTCGACCTTGAAAGGGCCACTGGATGGTACGAGGACTCAACAAGAACTGGAAACTTCGATTTGGTGCCGCGGAGATATTTGGTGATGCCCGATTGAGTTCGAATATAAAACACCAACCCTCGTTGGCATGGTGTATTAGATATCTCGGTAAGAGACATCTTGTCCATATTCTCTCCCTTCTCAGTCCAAGATACAGGTAGTCTGCCCTTATCGGTTGCGATTATCGTACTGGACGACCCCGTATCGCCGTCGCAAGAGATATCCGTCATTACCGAGAAAGGATGATTCTCCCAGACTCGCCACGTCAAGGTCGGGAAGTACAGATACACATCACCCTCAGCCGCGATTCCTGGAATCTCCAACTTAATGTATTCATCATCCACGATGGCAACGTGTGCAGTGCGGATCCCATGTCTAGCAAACCGCAGAATGCGCATTCCTCGCTCAAATCCCCAGACTGCCAATGCGATGTATATCCAGTTCTCATACCCCCATTGAAAGTTGTACCGATAGTAGATGTGTAGACAACATCCGACCATCGCTAACAGGAAGAATATCACGTGCCAGGCAAGAAAGAACTCATAGAATCGCTGGCGTACTTGCAACATTGACCCTGGAATGATGATGACCATCGCTAGCGTTGCGATAATACCCCAGTACCAATATGCGAGCTTGCTTTCGCTAGAGTGTTCACCTTGTGCACTGTATATTTGCAAGTATATGGCGGAGTGGAGGCAGGCTTCGATAACGCAAATCACAGCAATCCAGCGGTGTAGTAGCAAGAAGGTTGAGTGAGACCAGTTGGTTAGCCAGAGTAGGATATTGTTACGACTAGAATAGAGAACCAGCAGTGGAATGTTTGCAAAGCTCAGAATCCCAGCGCGGTTACTAACGTATGTGAGGATCTCAACACGGTTGGAAGTGTACCACGCACTGGGGTCAGCTGAGTTGAAGCCTGACGCGCATAGAACCACGTTGATAATTATGAGATAGGCGATAAACAGCGCTTGTCCTCTAGTTGGCATATTGAACGTGTTGAATAAGGGGACTTTGTGTCGGTGGCCAATGAGCGGAGGGGTAACCACGTATGCCTCGAAACTCGTCTGCAATCTAGTGGGAACGGGAATGAAGCGAGCAAATGAGAGCCCAATTGGGATAATTGCGCCAGTTAAAAGAAGGACCAATCTGTGGGGTTTAAAAGAGTAATTTAGCGGTTAGTTTTGTCTATTGGGGCTCTGAACTCACCCATATCTCTCATGTGTTGCTTCTGCTTTCTCGAAGACCGTAAGTGTGCGCCAATTAAGATCGTAAAGCTCTTCTGACACGAGTGAGGCTGACCTCAATACCGTGGATACGTTTGTCGTGATGGTAGGTTTGAAACCGATACTTTGCAGTGCCTGTTGATAAGCCTCTTTGGGCAGTGGCTGGTCTTTTTCACTACCAGCCACATTCATCTCCCAGTATCTTTGCAGTGTAGAGTTAGGCACCATCTGGCAATGGGAGTACATGCAGTACGCGAGGGTCTGCAAGAAAGCATCGTTCGTCGCATAGCATTCTGGCTCCGGGGACTTCTCGACCTTCCATGTAATACCCATGCGCTCATCTGAGCTCGTAGAGCAATTCAAAGGGTTTGTGATTGATGCGCGGCAGGCATGTGCACAAGGAGGTTTGTACATGGATATCCCATATCCAACAAACCCTTTTGCTGCATGCACTGGGCAGACAAGCGCTAGCAACAGAATGCTAGACGTGATAGAATAGATATGATGGAGCATCCTGTCAATTCGATCTGTCTATACCTTTCCCTTCTTTCCAGGTCCATTATTTGCCCAGCCACCCCTTCTGGCAGAGGGTAATGGTGTCTATATATCATATTTTCTGGTAAAAACAACTCTTCAGATGTTTGAGCGGGATCTTTGCTAATTTGTCCAGGACCATGCTTTTCTTGGCAGAGGTAGAGAGGTTTTCGGTTTTATGGCCAAGTATTACAGATATTCCTTTCTAATAATAGGATTGGCCTCCATGCAACTTGCTCCAAGAAAAGGCACGGACCTGTGGACCGTTCTATGGTGGCAGAAACGACAAATTATTGTTGAGTGGAAATGAGCACATTTTCTCCCAATTCCAAGTGGGGTCCACAGGTTAGCGGGCTCAGAAATTTGCGGAATCTTACTCAATTAATTGCTCATAATCTTCTTCATCTTTACCATTTTCGTAGCATCGAGTCGGACAATTTTATGAGACTGATTGGTCCCCAGATCTCAATCTGGCACTAGTTGTGTTTTCTCGTTATCCTAAATTCCAATGCCGCTAGCATAGGCTGGGGTGACATCGACATCAATCTTTGTCTAGATTGCACAGTATCGTCAGTGTTTTCATATATATACCAACGAGCCTCCTGAAACCATGTATTACACCTAGGATGTCACTTCAAGTGGGGGTGGTTTCTGGAATATTTTTCCATCTTCCTATTCATCCCCCATTAGAAAATCCTTTGCTCCTTAGGGACCACTTACGAGTCAGGGTTTGCATTCTTTTATACCGGATCAAATTAGATTCGTCATTGTACGAGGGCCATTTAGCCTTGGTTAACATGCTCCAATGAGATCCGCTAGATACCCTAGGACCCAGCATATATCATTTGGAGAATAGTCAAATAGTATCTTCTAGCCCTATCGCACCAGAATGGTTCTGGACTCCTGATACCCGCTACGGCTTAGACATCAAGGTCCATGCTCAAGAAACGCATTGGCGTATTCTTCACCCAGTAACCGTTCACTTTCCATATTTGTCCTCGATTTCCAGAGACATTGAGTCCTCGGCTTCACAAAGCCGGCCACGACTATGTCGAACAATCACAAAGGCCTCGATACTCCTCTCACCTTCATTCCCCTAGCTCGCAGCTCATATGGTGTGATTTTGCAGATCTCGAGCCTTATTATAGCGAAAATAATAAGCGGTATTGAACCTGGTCGGCAGCTACATTGCCGGGTAACGCTCAACACTTAATGCTTGCAACAGAATAACGCCGTAGTATATGACTGGTTATAGCTACGGTTATGAGCATTCAAGGTTCTCCTACAATGGTGAGGTGAAATATATTTTTAAACTAGAGATCTTTAACACTTCGGTGCAGTCTTGGCATATTTATATCTGCAAGTATTGTGAAGGGAGGGTCAAGGTCATTGGGCCAAGTTATATAAGAATAAGACTGCCATTAAACTTTTTTTTGTAATTTACCTTTTCTATATATTTGCTAATGATATGCATAACCAGGGCATTGAAGATCCTACCCTATAACGCAGCCCATTATGAGACATCACATCTCACGTGACGTTCCTGTCCCCCTCGGGCGCCACGACAACCAAGGCAACTTCATGTCCACAGCAACAACTAAGCTGAAGGACTGCCATTGTGAGACACACGATCTACTCGAGTCGGTCTGTACAGACCCAACATCTACCAGTTGGGGCATTTCTGGTTTACTGACTCACTTGCAGAAAGGCCTTTCGATTTGTTTTGGATCAGCCAAGAGCCAAGACTTCATTCGACGTGGTTGGTCAATTAAACCACTCACGTCATCGTTGAATCAATTGATTCTCGTTCGGCCGTCGATCTATCTTGAAAATCAGAGCTATTGTCCGCTACAAAACTACCCTATATCGCCCGATGGCGCGGTAACCTCTGAATCCAAATCAATCGGATGGGGCTAGGAGAGGAACGTGACACGTTTGATTGGCTTATCGCGTTAACGAGGATACGATATCAACGTCACCAGTTGGATCAAGCGTGACATCTGATTTTGCACCGACACGTTGAATTCAATTGTGAGAGCATCCCTCATTGAGAATATGGGAGCATTCATGAGCAGCATGAGTGGCGGTGTTTTCCTACAGACACCTTCAGGTAAGTGTCTCAGTCTTCGGCAACGTCTCTTGGCAGAGACGCTGATATAGGCGTAGTTGTGCCCGCCAACCATTTCACTCCGTTCCGGTTTTGCCAATTAGGCGATATCCAGCTTGGATTCGGTCAGGATGGTTGGAAAAATGACGTGCACAGAATGCAACTAGCCGCAGAGCAAGTCAACGCCGAGGACTTCGACTTCTGTATTGCCGTCGGTGACCTAACCAACAGCCGGTTAGTACAGTTCTCAAGACTCTTGTCTCCAAGAGGCGAACCACTCATCGAGACAGACATCCTCATGAAATCACCGCATTCCAGCAAACATTTCCAAACTTCACGGTGCCCGTCCACCTATTACCAGGAAACCACGACGTCCACGACTTAACCACGCTGAAACAGTTCACCCAGGACTTCAACACGAGTGACCACAGCAGCTTCACGAACAATGGCTATCGGTTTATTCTCCTCAACTCGATCACGATGATCACCGATCTAGCCGAATTCAAAAATCATACGGCAGACGAATGGAGCTGGTTCGAGCAAGAGCTCAAATCAGCCTCCCGCGCAGGCGAAAGGATTGTCGTCGCGCACCACCATCTCCCCTTTGAGGGTAGTGAGGACGAGCCGGACGGGTATTGGACTTTCCCGAACCGTGTGCGTCGCAAGTATCTTGGTCTGATCCGCAGATATGGTGTGCGTCATATCCTTGTTGGACATAGGCATGAGACGAAGAATATCTATCCTGCTGATGGATTCTATACGATATATGTCGTTGCGGGAACGGCGCGGTTCTTTGATGGAAATGGGTTCGGAATCAACTATTTTAATGTCTCATCACGGGATTCAGCGAATGATGTTGCTCAGGAGTATATTCATCTAAAGGGTGTTACGCACATGAAAAGGTCTGAGGGCCAGCCGACTGGGTGTCCGGATATCTTTCAACATGATCAATGAGTTACGGTATAGGTTGGCATGGTGGTGTGTGTTCAGTATGGTGTCCCGTCATGACATGTGTAATGATACAAAGCCCTGAAATATGAAAATGGTTCTTAAGCTATTGAACGGAAACAGATACCTAGGATATAAGACAAAATGCTAAAGGAATACTGGCAAAGCAATGATCTGGTAATATATATACAATCCTTGGTGCTGCCTATACTAAGCAATATGCAATATCTTCCTGAGCTGAAAAGCAGAACGGAAAACAAAAGTGATACTCTCCCAACTTTTCCTGGTATTGATGGTCAAAAATTATCCAAGTCCTGGCGACAAGTCCTTTTATATTCAACCACAGCGTCACCTAACATACTAATAAACGGCCAGGGAGAATCGCCCTGCATGATATGACACCAAACCTCGATAGTGTAGTTGACCAAATCCTCAGGCCGGTTTGACGAAATGTCAGGACACGCACCATTAATAGATATAGAGCCGTCGCGGACGATATCTCGAGTCCATTCAAGGAGCAAATGTTCGTGGTCTGCCATGATTAGTTAGGTTTTCCTTAGCAATTTCTGAATTCATCCACAGGAAGTCGAATTGATCTGCTCAAAACTACAGCAGCTAGGTCGTAGGGAGCGAAATAACAGAAATGGTAAAATTCCGAATGTAAAGTAGGAAAATGAAGACAAACCTGTTAATGACTTAGGACCCATGGAAGTGTGAAATGCTCGAAGCCACTTGTCGAGAAAAACGGAACATTCTAGCCCACATAACGCAGCCTCAATACTCCATAGTGATGCCCTATTGTGTTTGATGTACTGTATACCAAGCCTGACCAGTATACCCATGAAATGGGTCGCATGATGGGCTGCCAATAGTTCATCCCACTCGTGGTTCGCAGATGGTGATGAATGAAGAGCACGGGCGATGGAAGCAACATTCCACGAGAATATCTCTCGAGAATGACTATCGGAGAATTGAGAACAGTTCCGAATGTAGGCAAAGCTGAGCCAAGCGCTTGACATAAAGGGTAATGGCCCATTGGGGTCGAATGGCTCAAGATTGGATTCTGGAGTCCGTTGCCAGTAGAGTGTCCATTTACGCAAAGCGTTACTTGGTAAACATCAGCCATGAGACCTTTCTACATGTTGTCCAATGGGCAATTCAGAGTTTTGGACTCACCGAAAGAGCACTCGGCTATCTGAAGTTGAATTAGACCCTAGGTCTTTGGGGAAAATATGAACCCACACGATGGTTTGTATGAGACCATGCAGCAACGTGTAGTTAGCAACGGGCGTCGGGTTGAGCTCATTGATATCACATGGAGAAGGGGACAGCAAATCCTTTAAAGATGTGTTAAAGTGATTCTGTGTAATCAGGGTATTCTGTCTCAGCAAAGCCCAAGTTGCTGAATCCGGTGCCGTCCATTCTGGACAGGAGCAAGGCAGGCGCAGCTTGATTTCATAACTCCAAATGACTGGTGAAAGGTTATACGCGATACTTTGAACGTTGAGAAAACAGAATGCAAATAGCTTTGCACGTCTTTCCGATTCTAGGCGAGCCCAGGTTTCCCAATGAGTATCGTGTGCTTCCGACGGTTCTTCTAGTCCGCTTAATCTCAAGGCATGGGCGAGCTGACCACGCAATACGAGGGCTTCGTTCCTGATATTCAAGTCCTTATCCCACGCCGCAATGCCCATGAGACAGAGTAAGCATCGGACTTCGTCCATATAATCTCGTTCTACGAAATCATTTCTCGTTCCGTGGTTCATTAGTCGTTCGAGCATACCACGTTCCCTTTGGTGTTGACGCTCTAGTAGTATTGCCTTCGAGACATAGAACATATTAATTGCAGAATTATATTCAAAACGATTAGCTGCTCCGATGGCAAACATGGCTAAAAGAAGTTCCGGCGAGCATGCATCAAACCTAAAAGTTGGAGCATGGGTGAAGGGTGCATATGGATAGAAACCCGTGAAATATCCAGCTAAGAATCGGGTTAAGGAGTCACTGGATGGAAGCTTCCACCCAGGCAGCCCAAAGCCGTTTATTGACTGCAGTAGTGAGTTCCTCTGGTATTCAGCAACTGTAGGATGGGTAAAGTGTGGAACAATTTGGGCTCCTATTTCACGCCGATTATTGGCTAGCTTTACGTGGTGGATGGGAGCATACTAACCTAAAGCTATCTGTGGAGCAGGAAAAATTGTTGGGACTTCGTGAGTTAATTGCGCAGTTTGGTGTGTACTGGATCCTCGGGCAAAGTTGCGAGTGATGGGCCGGTCAGAGTTGTCTGCATTGGCGAACTGTGGCCTCGGTTCAGTAACAATACTTTCCAGTACGGGATCTAGTATAAGTATTAGCTCGGTATAATAGTAGATTCAGTGCTATAACTATGATTTACCGTTCATCTGGAGCATTTCTGTAATGGCTTCGAAACGGCTAGATAGCGGAATGGGCTCAGCCCTCGACGATGTTAGGCCAGCTGCATACGGAACACATCTGCAGGCATACAGACAAACTGCATCTTACCTAGTTGGCTGCCCGTCAAGGGATGGGTTGTCATGGTCCCTTGGTGGGAGGCTGTTTGTATGGTTACCGACCGATGCCTGCGCTGCTGCATTTCTATTGCGCTGCTGAGCTACGCCAGGGCTCTGCGGCTGTTCGCTAATATTGTATAGGGAAGCTGACTGCTGAGGAGAATTACTGGAGGTGCCATGCACAATGCGCTCATGGCGTCTCAAAAGGTCTTGTCTTGAAAAACAAGCTCCACATGGACAGCTAAATGGCTTTTCATGGGTGTCTTGGTCGAAAGGTTGGTATCAAATATCTCAAGTAGTGCATGAATGTACTAACGTCTCCTTGTGTGCCTTTGTAAGTGCTCCAATTTGCGGAATTTGCGGTTACAGAAGTCGCATTGAAATTCTCTTTCCTTGGTCGAGGATCCAGGAGTCATGGACGCCATTGTCGAGCATCCTCCGTTGATGGCCTAGAACAATCAGGTTTGCAACATACTAGCCACGCGAACAATTTCAGACCTTGATATTGTGTGATATCACCCCAGGTCAACTGCACAGGCGTATTTAGCAATTTGGCCGTTGACGAAAAGACCGGCGACGGAATCGGGGAAGGAAGATTCGTGTTCCCTTGGTTGTCCTAATGCCTCAGGCAACTATGATGCTGTAGCCTTGGCATGTTTAACCAAGTGATCATTAAATCTGCTCTTCGACAGTATACAGATATCCTCGCCAACAAGAATATCAGATTCAATGATATAGATCCCAGCGAAATAAGGAAGGTCACTGTAAGAAAGATTCGCCGGTCCAGTACCACGTAGTATCTACCCATCTAGTACTTGAAGAATGCAGGGATGAGTAGTTACGGCTGTAGTCCAGGATATGGAGTGTTTGGTATCCCTTGCCAGATACATTACATCCATAGAGGTGAATGGCTGTTACCATGAAAGTCTGGACGTGTTGTTCGGTTGATAACCTGTCTCCAAAACGCAATCTCCAAATCTCTATCTCCAAATCCCCACACAGTCCAGGTTCTTTGCCGAGCCCCACTCTGTATAGCTTTCTCCATATATGCAATGCCACAATTAACTGTTACTAATTTGTATAGCTACTCTCCTCAAGGTAGCCCAGATTAACTTCCAAGGAGTGAGGTTCAAGATGTGGGATATGACGTAAAATCCGTTACCTCAGCATGCCACCGACCATGGGTCTGTTGGGGAAACCAACCTCGACCCGATTATCAAGCAACATGCATGACTTTTTTGTTTCCTTTGCGAGATTATAGATAATTTTCTAGCCACAGGGAACACATAAATAGTGTAAAGATGCCCCAGGTAGGATCTTCTCTAAATCTATCAACAATCATATTAAAGTTCTCTACATCGATCTTCAATCGTCGCTATTCACAATGTCCCAGAAGGTTATCCGTCTCAATGGCCCAAGGACATCGGTTCACAATCTGAAGGCTTTCCAAGAGCCTATCCCTGAGCCATCCAAGCATGAAGTTCTAATCAAGGTTCATGCGGTTTCTTTGAACTTCCGTGATGTCGCTGTTGCTACTTCTCTGTACCCTTTCCCTGTCAAGGATAATGTGGTCCCCTGCTCTGATGCTGCTGGTGTGGTTGTCAAAGTCGGTGAAGGGGTGAACAAGATTGCGGTTGATGATCATGTCATTGGCACCTTTGATATTTCCAATCTATTTGGGCAGCAGATGGATTGGTTAAATGGTCAGGGTGCTCCTATTGACGGTGTTCTCCGAGAGTATGTCTGCATCCCAGCTGCATCTGCTGTGCAAATTCCGAAGGAATCCCCTCTGAGTTTCTGTGAGTGGTCAACATTAGTTTGCACTGGTGTGACTGCCTGGAATGCTTTGTATGGGAACATCCCGTTGAAGCCAGGTCAAACTGTTCTCTTCCAAGGTAAGACAGAGTAATCAAATTACAATCTCCGTTCTAAGTGCTCCGGTTGCTAATCATGTACAGGGACCGGTGGAGTCTCTATCACTGGCTTGATCCTTGCGAAAGCCGCGGGCGCAACGACAATAATCACTTCCTCCAGTGATGAGAAGCTGGCCTTTGTGAAAGAGAAATACGGTGTCGACTATACGATTAACTACAAGAAACACCCCGAATGGTCCAAGGAAGTTCTCCGCCTCACTAATGGTGACGGTGTCGATTTCATCTTTGAGAACGGTGGCTCGGGTACAATTGGAGAGAGTCTGAATGCTGTCAAGATGGGTGGAAATATTTCAGTCATTGGTTTCCTTTCTCAGGCCGAACAGTCCAAGATGCCTGATGTCGCTTCCTTGGCCCTTGCGAAGGGCGCTGTTGTTCGCGGTATTGTTGTCGGCTCAACTCAACTTCTCCAAGAGGTTACTCGCTTTGTTGCCCGCAAGGGGTTGAGGCTTCCTGTTGACAAGGTCTTCGAGTTCACTGAGAAATCCATCATTGAAGCCTACGAATATATGGCATCCGGCTCTCAGGTTGGGAAGATTTGTATCAAAGTGGCCGAATAGCCGCACATGCTAAGTTTCTCAAAGATGGCCTGATTTATTTCTTTCATATTGCCTTATGAGATCATCTGAGATTTATTTCTACTAGTTCATTACAATGGAGTTATTGACAAGCCTAAGATCATCTTAGCCAGCTTGATAGTTACCGAACCAGCAAAGAAAGCACAAATATTTTATACTTTGCTACCAGGAACTAGCAAGACAAGACTTGTCTACTCATATTATAGATTTTCAAACTTTTCGATTATGCTTTTGGTCCAAGTAACAGTAGTCCTTGACTTAGATCTAACATTCCCCAATTTTGGAGACGGACCCACTTGCGGGGATGAGGGTTAGAGAAACCCTCACCACGCCTAATCTACAAAACGACGGCCTGATATAGAAACTTAGGTCATTCCATTCCCTTCTTTGTAAGGTTATATCATCTTGTCATGCATTGACTAAAATGGGTCAATAGTCTAATAAGTAGCCACAGCGCCCCTCCTGGTTGCAACGGCAACCAGGGACTTGTCGCTTTAGTAGTTATCGCAAGATAGGTCTTCACTTGGATCCAACTTTCATTTCATTATTCGTTATAATGGTCATCACTATCCACTGGAACTTGATCATCGAGTAGAGATCCCCCAGCCAGCTACGAACCCTCCCAATCTCGGTCAAAGATGTCCAACAGCTCGCGTCAAAGATGATTCCGCTGCGGACTTGGGCCGTCTTGGCCACATCCCATACAACGAGGACACGATCGTCAACGTTATCAGCGACATCTACCGCATCTATCTACAGCTAAATTACATCTTTCCCACGGATGTCGTCTGGCCGTCACAAGAAGGCCATGTTATCAACGAGGCTTTGTGCGAGGAACTCCACCTCGATAGTGCGGTGATCTCGATAATGAAACGACTGCCCTATTTCCGGGCGTCAGAACTAGCGGCTGATATCCCGTTCACCTCTCTGTCCCGCGCGTTTGTTTATCTTGAGGATGATGAAATCCGTGATGGCCGCGATCCGGATCGGTTCCAGGATGAGGGGCTGAGGCTAGGGTTCCTCCTTCCTCAAGAAATTGCTCTCGACTGTTCTACTAATAAAGGTATTTATTTGATTCTGGACACAAAAGAGAGTAATTATATCATTCTGTTTGCAGTGAGACCCCCTGGTTAATGTGAATAGACACAATTCGAGTATGGGACCCGAACGATCGATTGGCGGGAGACGACGAAGAAAATAACTATCGCAATCATCCACATCATGCACCAACATATCTATCCTCACATTTGACAAGGTCAAATCACTCGAAATCATCCCTAGTAGAACAAAAAACATGCGTGCCCTTGTGGATAAGCCCCACTATTCAGATATGGTATGTTAATTTCTTCTCCTTCGCTACCGTCACATGTCAGATTCTAAACCGTGCTATAGTATCTGAGACTTAAGAGACTTCTCCAGGAGCAATATGGCTGGCCATATGATTTTCAGGAGACGGAGTGGAAGGCTCTTTCAAGCTTATATTAGAGCGAATCCTTCGTGATGATCCAGGTCACGACAACAAAGGATGATGATTATGAAGAGATGGAGAGGCTTGAGAAGGATGACTAATGCGAATCATTTTGGTGTGATAATGATATTCTGTCAAGGTAATCCTGTATGAAGCTCTTCTCACATCTTGCTTTAGTAGATGCATGAAGCCTATGGGTATCCATTAATAGGCTTATATAGTGTGAGCAATCCTAGGCCGAGGGCCGTGTATACTAGTCGTTTGCCAGGTAGTATAGCCGCTTGATGCTTGGAAAACTCTCCAGTTTCAAATATACCGTTGTTGTTTATAGATCCAATGCTCTTTTCAGCATGGTGAAAAGATGCATTATGCATAGCTCAGACAGACTTCGCAGTCAGCTATGTACTACAATAATAGAGCAGCTGTTCATGAATACATTAGGACGATGGTATATGTTTGCCCCCTGGAATATTCGGGGTAGGGTAATACTATCTGGGGAATCTGGTACCGTTGTCGCTGCTGGAACAGACCGCTTGATCATTAACATTCCTTTTCCCTTTCGTCTTGCTCTGCATCTTCCGGCCACAACATCCGCCGTGTCCACACAGCCCATATAGTTGCCACACTTGCAATCAGCCATATTGCCACCTGCAAGATAGTCATAGCGGCAGCAACCCACAGCACCGCTTCGGACTGCAACACCTGTCCAATCCTTATTGTCGCAATCACGAACCCGGTATTCGGAAACACCATACTCCAATACGGAAGCGACATGCCAGGTACACCAGTACCTCCACAAAGCTTACAGAGCGCCAACACGCTGGCTATTGCGATGCAAAGGCAAAAAAACGCGATCGCCCACAAGAAAATCCCCGCTAGGGCAGCAATGACCAGAGCAATATCCCCAGTTGTCACAGTGATAGTTTCACTAGAAGACGAGTCCGCATAAGATATTATATATCGGGATGGAAACTTTTCCACCGCTGCATTCGCCATGCCAATCAGGGCAAGAGCTGTGAAGCTCCATGGACCCACAGCTATGAACATCTCCGGTCGCTCAGCTGGTTTCGGAAGGCCGCTTTTGTTCAAGCGGTAGAAATATTCTCCGTAGATGAACAAAGACATCAGGAACCCGAACCCTTGTAATGTTGTGCCGCCAATTATAATAGGCAAGGCGTGCTTTTGTGGCTGCTTGGATGCGAGAACCGATGCAATCGTACCGGAAAGCATGGCTGGGAAGGAAGGCAGTAGTCTGACCAGTGCAAATGGTTGTTGACTGGCCATGCTATGGTGATATAGATACCAATTGTGGAAGATAGCCTCAATGATGGAGATAGCGACATAGATCCAAAAGACGATGCGTAGGGCGACTTGGAGCCATGGTCCACAAGCACCTGTACCGTAGCTCTCAGCTCCGATGATGATAGTTGCAAAAGCTAAAGGGCAAGTGCCTACAAAGTGGGTCTCGTTTGAGTGCTGGAAGGATTCCTTCAGGGCCGATGACTTGGTAAGGAAACGGAAGCTCAAGCAAAGAGTTATTGAGAGAAAAAGAACCAAATTGAAGATATATACAATCTTCCCGATAGTTTCGAGGCCGGTGAATTGGTGGGGTGTGTTATAGAGCAGAACCGCAATACCACCTGTAGCCATGGACATCGAGTACCAGCCCCAAGTGACCTGACATATTCGGCCTTTGAGGGGCACGTTTTGATTTTTCTGATATTTAGGGTTCATTCTAGCACGGGGTCTCACACGCGTGCTGAGCAAAAGGAGCAAGAATTCCTCCTTTATAGGGAAATAGTACCTGCACATACATCCCTGAAGCTTTCTGTGCTATTATATAATTTTTTTTTGGCTTCCTTGGTGTGCTTCCGTCGTTTATTATATCATATCAGACTCTGGCCTTGTCTTGAATGCAGTTTGGCGTCATCGGTGGATCCACTCGGTATAAACAGGGCCATTCCCGAACACTCATTATCGGGCCGACCCACGGTTGATGATGTCTTCCCATTCCGAGGCTGCACGTCCCGAAGTCTTCTTAAGTAGTTCAATTCCTCACTAGTTACTTCTAAAGCAGTTGGCACTTTTGACATTCATCAATGTATCGGGGCTGCTCTCTCGTCAGGGCAGGCATCGGTAGGGTTTCATCATAGGAAGCGCATCAATCAAAATCTGTTCCTGTGAGGCTTGCATTGTGCAAGAATATCATACGACAAGGGATTATTAAGGGTCTAGACCCATAGTTGCTTCACTCACCCGTGCCAACAGGCAAAGGTCACTTTCAATAACAAAATTTTGTCTAACATACAATTTGTACATGCGACAGATGACAGTGGGGGTATAAATATTGGGTCAGGAACTTACTACCTTAACTCCAATATGCTAGTACATACATATGATATGCAACATGATATACTGGTATTAAATGTGATGTGGGACCGCGCCTAAGGATAAATATAAAAAGCCCTAACCCTTCCTTCCCTTCTTAATTCCATCACTCTTTTCCCCTTCCCTTTCAACTTCGGCCAACCAACAACACCACTTCCGGGGATGGTATTATATAGCCAGTTTCACAGCCCAGCATATCCTTCCAGGGGAATTGTAGGACTCAGTGCTTCATCAGACAGCAGGATCTATGAACATGAGATCGAATAAAAGTCACTCCAGGAAGAGATAATCCGCTGCGATAGTTTGTATATACTGCAGTAATACATTGAGCAAGACATAGAAGCTTAATAGAGTCCTAAATCTTCGTATTATAATAATGTGTTTGTCATTGCCACACTATATAGATAGCCCTTCGAGAGCTGCTGGGTCGTTAGGTGCCACTAGAAGAGTGAGGCGTTGTTTTATTAAGTCTTTCTTACTAGTCCATATGACTATATAAATAACTCAAGTAGGGCAAGCAGTATATCAGACATAGGTCCGATTGTCACAGTTTCTATATGATTCAATAAACTCAGCTTTGTCGGCGCCTCATAATCTTCAACACGGAGACTTTTATCAGGTTTTTATTCACGCCGGGAGGCAAGGCCCACAGTGGGCCAGGGTAGCATTTATGGATAATGTTTACCATCTAGAAATTGGTTCTACCACCAGTTAGTGACCATCATTGGTTACAGTACTATTTCCGTTAAGGGCCTCGAGGGCTTGAGGGCGGCTTCTGCCGACAAGATCGACTTTAAACTGTTGGTTAACTTTACAACTCAAAATGTAGTAGCACCAATAGGAGACTTTCAGGTCGCTGATTAATAGTATCAACTCTTACGTACTCAATGACATCTTTCGAGGTTGTTCCCTGATGACAAAAGGCTAGATGAGTGATATGCTATATAGAAAATCTTCCAAGCTCTATACGTATAGAAAAGTGTATATAAAGCTCTCTGCATCCTGCTGCATATTGAACAGAATATCAACCTCCTTCTGTCTATCAGACTGCATCACTACTCTCAAAACTTCTACGATCATGTCTTCTACTGATTTGGCTATTCCAAAGGGCTCCCTTGTCGTCGTGACGGGAGCTAATGGGTTTATCGCCAGCCATGTGGTCGATCAGCTACTTCAACAAGGGTACAATGTCCGGGGCACTGTGAGAAACGCCACGAAAAACTCGTGGTTGAATGGCTACTTCGGTGCTAAGTATGGCCCGGGACGATTCTCTCTCGCTGAGGTTCCCGATATGTCCCATGACGGTGCATTCGACGAGGTCGTCAAGGGCGCGGCCGGTATAGCCCATGTGGCAACACCGGTGATGCAGTTTTACGACCCCAATATCTCGGCCAGTGCTGCTCTTATTGAATTGTGGGTCGTCAACTGACAGGACGATCTGATGCCCATTTCTGAGTAGATCTCCAAAGGCTTCCGTGGGATAGCTTTCCTAACCTGGTGTTGAAACTTGGGATGGTAAGCCCTAGGCTAAGATCGTCAAATGCCCGGTGTTCTCATCTTTAATTTACCAGTGAAACTATAATACTAATTTTGCTGGATTTACGATGATAAGCACCGTAATTAATTTGACGATCGTTGTTAATTTAGAGACATTAAATCTTGGCTAAGAATGGGTTGTGGTGGCCGCGCCGGTGCGATGACACCATCGCGAGCATATCTGAAGCCATGCATTAGCAACCCCTCGGCCAACCACCGACTACCTATCACACCCTGTTATCTGAGATCATGTGGAATCATCTAAGCTTTTCAGGCTTGATGCGATTCAACCATCATAGCTTTGCTGTCACGCAATTGCATGGCATTTCGTCTCATTGTGGGGAAAGCTAAAACATATAAATGCGCAACAGATCAACCCGAACGGACCAAAAGAGACCCGAAGGGTATTTCGCACATCGACAGTGACAAGATGGGACAAGACGATGACACAATTACTTGGGGTAGGCAGAAACCAATTTTAAGAGAGAGGAATACCTGCTCAGCTCCTTGCTCATAGTGCGTTCACGAAACGAAGACTCCGACAATGACAATCTCAAAGCGCAAGACTCCTTGCAAGTGATTGAATCGCATGTACTTCAAGAAAGGAAGATTGGCACATTCGGAGCAATCTCTCTAGTCGTTAATAAGATCGTTGGTGCTGGGTATGTTGTATCTTCGGTGAATCTCGAACTCGCCGTCGCTAACCTTTACGCAGGATATTTTCAACTCCAGCAACCATTTATAAGCTCAGTGGAAGCGTTGGCATGGCTTTAATGCTCTGGGTTATTGCAGGCATGATCTCTACATGTGGTGCTCTGGTAATGCTAGAGTTTGGAAGCGGCATCCCACGTTCCGGGGGCATCAAGGTCTACCTTGAACGATCATTTTCCCCAAAGCTTCTACAGACATGCGTATATCTCTTTTATTGTGTTTTCCTCCGTGAGTCAAGCATTTCAAACTCTGCAATATTCTCCTTACTTATCTTGATACTGGTCAGAGGTCTCTGCTAGTAACGCTATTACGTCCTCCTCGTACCTTCTTCTTGCTGGAGGCGTTGAATCAACTACGTGGAAACTCCGTGGTGTGGCCATTGCAGCTGCTGCCTTTGCAGTGGGTCTTCATGCTATCGCTCCAAGAGTAGGAAGAGGATTACAAGATCTCCTCAGCGCGGTCAAGCTCTTCACCTTACTATTCATCGTGTGCACTGGGTTTGCTGCTCTTGCCGGTCATCGCAGGGTGCCAGATCCTCATAATTTCGATATCCACACATCGTTCAAAGGAACGTCGAACAATGGCTATAACATCGGCACTGCGCTTCTAGATGCCATCTTTTCATTCCAGGGCTATGATAATGTCAATGCAGTATGAGCTACCCCCCATTGCGGGTCCTTCGGTCCTCTAACTGGGTTATGCTGCTTGCTTAGGTCTTATCGGAAGTGAAGAATCCCCAGAAAACTCTTCGCGTTGCCCTTCCATCGGCAATGGGTATAATCACCGTTCTGTATCTTCTAGCAAATGTGGCCTACGTACGTATCACGCCCAACCACCATTTACAAGGGATTTCATACTGATGTATTTCACGAGAGTAGTTCGCTGCGGTACCGACAGAGGAATTTACTAACTCCAATATCACAATCGCGGCATCGCTGTTTAGAAATGTATTTGGGAACTCGGCCGCAACAAAAGCTCTTCCTGCCCTTGTTGCTATTTCGGCCGTGGGCCATCTGCTCGGCATCGCATATACAGTCCGTAAGTCACTGCCTACTTGCGATACGCTAGGAACCCTGAAGCTAACATTTTCTATGTACAGCTCGAGTCCTACAGGAGCTTGCCAAAGACGGGATAACGCCCTTCCCTAATATCATGATGCAGAACCGCCCCTTCAAGACGCCCATTGCTGCGTTGGCTGTCCATCTAGGGGTCACAATACTATTCATCTGTGCGCCTCCAGCAGGCGACGCCTTCAACTTCATTGTCAGCTTGAGTTCATATCCAACGACCTTCCTCTTGACAGCCATCACAGTGGGTTTAGTCAAGTTTCGACTCACCAAAGACGAGAGCTGGGCATCGGCATTTTCCGCTCCATGGGCGGTGATTGCATTCTACCTTGCCGGTAACATAGTAAGTTATCCACCATACCTTAGGTTCTCTTAGTTGTTCCCTTTCTGACTGTACGAAGTTCCTGCTCATTATGCCTTTCATCCCACCACCGAATGGAAAGGGAAGCACTAACCTTCCGTACTGGTTAAGCCCCGTAGTTGCTCTGGCTATCTTATCACTGGGCATCATATATTACCTCCTGCGGTTTATTATAGTCCCCTGGGTCTTCAGGTATACATTACAGCCAGTTGCAGTAGATCTTAGTGATGGATCTCAAGTTACCAGATATAGGATCCGGAAGTTTGGCGAAACGAGATAGATATTGATGGCTTAATGAAAATTCATGGTAACTTTTGCTTTGAGATCTCTTAAAAAAAAAAAAAAAAAAAAAGAGCACATGATAACAGATGCATGATAAAAATTAGATTAGTGAGCAGGACTATACAGTTGCTCTGATCCTCTCGAGATAGCAATATATGGGCTAAGAGAATTATTAAGATGAGAGTTAAACCGAGGAGGAATTATAAAAGGAAAAGCAAGAACGGTTACATATCAACCATTTCACACTCGTCAGCGGGCCTAAGTCCAAAAGTCTTCAGACCCCCTTGCCAACTTCTTCCAAGAGCCATCTTTGCAAACTCTCTCATTTCACTCTCATAATTACCAACCACACTCGCATCAACATTCTCGATGCCACCAGCATCGACAATTTTCCTAGCCAAATCCGCCGAATCCCTGAGAGCTGTGACAAGACCCAAGGCTCCCGTCGGCGGCATTACATGAATCGCATCACCAAGCAGCGTCACCCGCGGTGAAACCTCCCAGACGGGGAGATCTAACGGAGCGGATGAGATTCTTAACGTCGATGCCTGTCCCCTACCCTGCATTTCAAAGACGGCCCGTAGCCCAGGGCTCCAGTTTTCCGTTATATGGATCGCCATATCCGCTGCTTCATCATTGCTTAGACACAGCAGCTTCTCATCCGGAACGCCTAATCTCGAGGAATGGGCTCCAAGAACCCAATAAACATACGGGCTCGGAAGCTCAGGCTCAGAGACAGTATCCGTATTCGGGAACCACGTAGATTCGAAAAGCAGAGACACCTGTCCCTCTGAAACAGAGTCATCAATGGCTATATTCATTCCTCGTTGGTATTGCTCTGGAAACCGCGCAAGAAACTCTGGCGTTATGGGCGTCTTTCCATACAAGGCACGCATGCCCGTATCGATGACCTTGGCCCCGGGGATAAGCTGCTTGCGAACACGCGATCGCACGCCATCCGCACCGACGAGAATGGCACCATCCTCGACACTCCCATCCGTGAAATGCGCAGAGACCTTGTCATCGTGCAGCGTGTAATGATCGAGCGCCTTCCCGAAGAACACATCGTCTTTCAACCCTGTGAGAAGTACTTTTCGGAATATGGTCCGGTCAACTGTATACGGTTTGGGACCTTTGATAGGAGGGGGTCCTATACGGCGTGCGGCATCCACGGGCGACCCGTCCGGTTTGACCTGGACCCCAAATGCGAGACCTGCGGCACATGTCTGTTCGAAGAGTGTGTATATTTCTGGTGTCAAGGCATATTGGAGGGCGTAGATTCCGTCCTCGCTGATGCGCAGTCTATACCCTTGTGGGCGAAAGTCAATCTCTGCGTCTTTTTCGAAGAGTTTGAAGGGAATTTTGTGTTTTCTGAGGGCTTGTGCTAAGCAGAGGCCTCCTAGGCCGCCACCGATGATCAGGATTGTCCTTGACATGCTGTTTTGTCTTGGACCTTATCCTGTTACTGATGGCGTGGCGTGTAGAGCTCTTTATAGATGTCTATAGAAGCGCGTCTACTATATGCCTGAAACGCAAAGGCTCAACCTGCCTTTATGTCTCGTGAGCTTCGGATTTTAGGAATGCCCCCGCGTGACAATCAATATATCGGGCCGGTCTGATAGACTCCGATCGAGATACTTTTACCCCGACAGCCAATTACCGAAACAATCGCATTGTTGGGTCGGAGGATTTTGCCCGATTGCCCGACATAGCTCGCAGCGGCTATTGATTCAGAACTTCCTCGACATACTGGAAACGGCGTAGAAGGAAACCTGCCTTGTCGCCCCACTAAATTACTTGCACTAAGAGCGCATTCCCTGATTTGTGGAATCCGATCTCCATTCCAGTCTAACATTCCATTGATTGGTTCTGTCCGTACATGAATCAGGAACTCGGTATATCGGGACGTTGTCGATCCGTTTGCTCTTCGAATGTTCAGACAGCTATAGCATTCCTCTAGGAAGCATAGTGTATGAATCTTAACACATCTCGATTGATTGTTCTACTAGCTAGTCTAGTCTAGTTATATTCTAAGGCAATTTTGCCCCAGGAACAACTACGAATAGTAGCACAGAAAATCATGGCTGTGCTCTGCGCCCGACGCGGAAAAAGCCGCTAAGCCCGTATTATACCCAAACCAGTTACGATATGGTTGCATCTACCGCGAGTCACTCTATGGACAACCGATGGAAGTCGTAAAAGACCATAAGGGTTCTCGGATCCTCGTGACACAATTAATATCACGTGGCGATGATGACAGTGGGATAAATTGTCAGCCTTACGTCTTGCATAAATGCATGTCATAATCCTCTTGATCAACCTCTCGCTCAGAAACGAATTAGGAAATCGGGAAATATACACCTCTCAGTCAAACATGTCCAAATCACAATACCGAGATGACGAGGATGCCATCCCCTCATACGAAGAAAGTGTCCGATCATCCACCACACAGGCACCACCCTACAACATGAGACCCGACGTGGCGGCACCACTGCACCGTCATCTAGATGCAAGTCGAGTCCAGCGCGTTCATTCTCTCCTCGAACAGTATGTCGATCCACTTCTTGCTGAGCAAGGGTCTTCAGGATTATACAAAACCACCTTTATTTTCATTCCTTCCAATGTCACGTCCCTACAGCCCAGAGAAAAGACTAGCTACTCCACGCCTAAGGCGCCAGAACCGGTCGGGTTTCCTACTTCCACGGTGGTGAAGCTTGTTCAGTTGGAGGGCGAGGCACATACGATGGAGTTCTGGAGACAGCCGGCCGTGTTGCGGGAATTGGAGTCCTCGCTTCGGGCAAGGCTTGCGGCGAGTGGTCATCATGTTGAGGGGCAGGATGAGAATGAGATCCCCACATCTGCTAAAGAGACTCAATCGCTAAAGTCGAATAAAGAAAGTAAGCCTAAGCAGAAGAAGTCGCTCTGGGGTAGACTCACGGGAACCTCTGAGGCTGTTATTGTGGACCGAAAGCTGGGCTGGCGTGCCGAACCTGAAGAGACGACCGGTCGCAAATTGTCCAGGGACCAGGTCAGGGCTGTCGTGGAGTGGAAGGAGGTCTGTTTGCGCGTGGAGAATGACCTTGGTCTATATGATAATTGTAACGCACCGGGGATTTGTCTCTCTGTGGAGGTTGGGGAGTAGGTATTTGTTGTACAAGTTCTGTTTCCGAAACTATGAGAGACCCCGAAGCGGTATAGGGGAAAATGTCAAGAGTTGCGCATGCAATTGCATTGGGCTTTAATGTATAGATGAATTCTTGATACGGCTTAGGTCGTCTTCATAAATACAGCCCATGCTTTTCACGCGTCATGAAACACGGCTTAGTTCATTTCTGTAGTTATAAGCGGAGACCAAAAGTATATCATCTACCTCATATATCCAACTGCAAGTGGGTCGTGATATGTTCATGTGCCATAGCTAACCCATTTAACCCGATTCATCTAAAATCACGATAGACAAAAGTCTGTCGTCTGCATCATGCTCAGCGCTGAACTGTGCCAGGAGGCTGCGAATGGCAGATTCAGTCGCTTTAGCATCCCACAGCCCGTCTCGGCTTGGGAGGTTGGGGTGTTGCAAGAGGGACAGCGCAGTCTTCAATGTGTTCTGACTAGTCGTCCTGAGACAGGCATGTAGCAGGCCCCCAACAAGCTGGGTCGATAATGTAAAGGGCCGACTTGTGCAAGCAGTATATTGGGGGGAGGTATCAAGAAGAACTGATATCTCCGAAAGTGCAGTATCAATCCAATCATCGGGAGCTGGAGGGCACCGAACGGTTAACGGCGATAATGGATGGATGATACTGGACTGTCCAGAGCATGGCAAAGGGAAACGATAGTTGATCACGCCGTAGTACATTCGTGCTTGTATACGCAACAGCAGTATACGCTTAGCGACTTTTTCTTCGCTACCCTGATATAGCTTATCTACCGCAGTCAGGTATCGTTGAAGCTGCCCTTCTAGAACCCTTCTCTCATGTAGTACGTCTGGAGGTATATCTGCTAACGGTTTATGCTTGACTCGGGCATTAGATGCGAGATGTCTGGCTATCCAATTCTGAAGCTTTAGAATCACAGCCTCGGCCTGCGCAACGTCGATAAAAACCTCGGGTACAACGCTGTGCGTGCCATATAATTCGCTGGGGGATGTCAAGACGAGTCTAGGAAGTCCCCGTTGTTTATCGTAAATGCTGGCTTGCACGTCCAGACATGAGAGCAAAGCTGCCAGATGGGGAACGATATCATCGGGCTTGGACGTCGATGAAGAGGGGTTCTTCTGGCATCGTTGTAAGAGCGTCAGGCTAAGGTCGAGATGCTTTATTGCTTGCTGGGTATTGCCGATGAGAGCCTCAAAGGCATAAAACAGAACGCTGCAGGTAAGCGCGACTTCCGGCAAGGCACCGGGGGAGGAAAGATATATCCTCAGCTGTCGATGACACTTGGCGATGCGCTGTAAAATGCTCAGAGGTGGAAGGTTGTCATTGTTGTAGCAAGATAGCTCCCCAGATAGGTGATCTTGGTAAAGAGAACTCAAGGTCACCAGTGCATTACGGATGACGGGCTCGTGATGGCTTCTTTGCAGGATTAAAGTGGTCCACAGGGTCGGATCGGTATAACTCGATAAGCTCTCCGCAGCCTGGCAGCAGTAATAGTGTAACAGCTGCCTATCGGCCTGGCTACCAGGCACTTTGAATGGGATGCAATATGAGTCGATCGAGGCTGGCCTCCAAACCCGCTTCTGCACCAGAGGTATGTGGTCGGACGGATATCCGTCGCAGTGGCGGCCGGTGCTGGTGCATCGGAGGCAACTAGGCTTTTGCTCATCACATTTTACCCGGCGAATCCTTCACAGTCCGGGAGTCAAGTTAGACATGTCCTGTTTCACACCATGGGGAATGTATCGACCGTCCCTTACTTGCACGTAAGACAACCAGTTTTGACTTTCGGCGCACTTCGCCGAGATCTCTTTGTCAGTTCGGTTATTGAACTCATTTCACGTATCCCTTTCTTTCTTTCTCAATCACTCTATGGTTTGGAAAATACTGGAGACATCTTCCCAGAATGTCATCATCTTTCGGGGTCTGACGTTGAGGCTAAAAATAAACCCCCGCTTTACCTTTCTGAGCCACGTGCATCGCACGCAGCCCTATCTAGAGATTAGTTGTATCATCATCCTTCATTCTCTGTCGTAGGACATTCGAAGTTACAATGGGGTCTTTAAGTATCACTAATTATCATCTGCCGTGTAGGCATCCTGCGGGCCGGTGTAACAAAAATAAGAGGCAGGTAATACCCCAGCAAAGCACATATCTCAAACATAGCTTGTCCGGTATCGTTCACGATATTCGGGCCTACTAAATACCGGAGAGGGGCATAAAGAACAGCCGGAAACGAAATCCAGCCCGGGGTGTTACATCGTGGAACTTTGAATCACGACAGGGTGGACCCTTAATCATAGAGACACAGGCTACGTACATTCTACTTCAAACTTACTGCTTTTGTCCAACGTCGTCTGTAAGGCAACGTGGCAGATCCACCCCGTGGATCTTCTGAAAAATGACGGACCAATTGATTTTAGCATCCATTAAACAACCAACGTCTTGGCAACTAAATATCGCCACCGCAAAAAAAGGGTATCGAGAGTATGAAGATCCGTCGTCATAGACATCCACCATCAGGAATAAATTAACAACAATCCGCACAGCAGAAGCAGCCCGTTGGGAAACTTGGTTCATGCGCCGTTAGTTAAGAAGAAAAAGAAAAGGAAATCAGAGGAAAGTCAGAAGCAGAAGTGATTTTACTAACCATGAGGAACCATGCTTTACACCGTCTTCCCCCTCCTTGTTGACGAGCTCGGTGTCTATAGCTTTGATGGCGTTTTCATATCTCCTATCGCATTGTTCCTCGAGAATATTCTTCGCCTGGCGAAGTTCTGACTCTTTCATCCAAGTCAACAGAAACTGTCCCAGACGTGGCCTTTGAATGTCAATGGCAGCTTCCATTGGCCCTTCGGTTTTTTTTAGTACGCGTTGACAATCGGAGGTCTCCAGATAGCTATAAATAGAAGAGACACAAAAGGGAATATAAGAGCGAAGAATCTAACGTACTGTTTACTGTTCTCATTTGCCGGAAAGATTTCCAGATCTTCATCTGTTCTTCCTCCCGGGTATGCAGAAAGGCCTGGAATTTGAAAACCTTCTTTCCGACGCGCAAATTTTGCCACCAGAAATACTCATCGCACGAAAGATACTGCTCCAACACATCACCTAAAGTGTACCTGGCGAGTCCATCGTCGGGGTAGCCGAACCGATACGGTCCGAGACTGCGATCCATCTTCCCACCAGCCCGGGCGGAGTCAATACAGGGGCAAGCAGAACGGAAAAGGGTAGAATGAATAACATACACTGAAATCTTTTACAGTCTTACAGAAATTCGCGCGTGGGGGTGGATCATAATATATGACGTCGTTTCAACAAGCTCGTTGCGAATCTCCTCAGTGTACGATCCCCTGAGAGAATATAGGACAGAGGAGGTTGGTCAAGGCTCTGGGAGAGTCAGACTGGGTGCCAAGGTGCAGTACCTGACTAAGGAAGGTCAACCGTACTCGTTTAGGGTCTTAAGACTCTACTATCGTGTTTGATTTCCCCCTTGTGATTAGCTTTTGTTCCGTCTTTTACGCGGCAGAGTTCCACTGATAGTCCCCACATATACTGCACTCAGTTTAGATCGCCGCTGAACCCTAGAGCTTAGTTCTTCTAGCTTCTTGTCCCCCCTCTTTTGTGCCCTGTTCTCTCTTTTTTTTTTAGCAATTTCACCCAGAGATCCTGCTCAACACAGCCCCGTCAAAACACCAATCATAACCGTGTTCCAACTGTTAACCATGCAGTACACTGCCCCGTTTCACTTGGCTAATCTCCCCTTAAATAATTTTGTTGACTGATTTTAAATCGGAATGTTAATTCTAACAATTCAAAGTCAAAGCTTTTTTTCACAATGTCCCACACGTTTCATGTTACAAATGAGGTCTGCTATTAAGTACTACGGGCGGTTAGGTATATCCAACCAGAAACATGAGCTGCTCCATTCCCAGGGCGATGCGGTTCCTCCACACTGGCTACAGCCAAGATAGACGCACCCGTTAGACGGTGATACAGTCTCGTCGTACAGGGCACGACAAAGACACTGTTGTACGTTCGTATAGTGATCGCCCAATAAAGTAAGAGTATGACGCTGGCTTTCAGGAGACCGCAAATCCTAGCGGAGAAGACCTGTTCATCGGAATGGTTGGTGGCCGATCACAGTCCCACACTGAGCCCTAGCATACGTCAACCTAAATCTCTTTAATGTGAGCTGAGGTAACTCGCCCCAGGGTCCAGGCGCACTCCACGAAACTGACCTCCAACGATCTCATCGCTCGTGCAGTCGACACAAATGACCGGTTCTTCCCCAGGAAAATTATCCCCGTTTGTACTTTGATTTCTTCCGGGTTCTTTTTCTTATCCTCTCCTTACCTCAAAGCAGATATGCTTCTAATATCAATATTCTCGATACTCACGTTTCTTTGCTCTGCGCCTGTGTCTGCTTCGCGAGTAATCAAATCCAACTCTCTAGACCTATGTACCGACAACAAGAACTTTACAGCTACCTTTTTCAATGTAACGTTTACACCGGATGACCGTCTCCTATCCATAGGTTTCAACGGCACGGTAGCTATCTCCGGAAATGTGGTGGCGGACCTTTCGTTGACGGCCTACGGCAAAGAGGTCATCACGAAGACACTGGACCCATGCCAAATGAAGGAACAGCGCCTGTGTCCCATGAACATTGGAAAGCTTGAGATTCCGGCTATCCAGACGACTCTGCCGCAGTCCGTGATCAACCAAGTTCCGAGTAAGATGCACCCGCCCGCGTCACTGGTGCAACGCAGACTGACGAATGGATCCCGCTAGACGTTGCATATACCGTGCCTGATCTCGATGCATCTGTCCGCGTCTACATTAATTCCACAGATACGGGGGCTCCTATTGCCTGCATGGAAGCTAGCCTCTCCAACAGCAAAACTGTATACCAACAGGCAGTGGGCTGGGTCATAGCGCTGGTCATCGGTCTGGGTCTGGCGTCCTCCGGGATTGCATCGATACTCGGATATTCACATGCTGCATTGCATGTCGCGGCTAAATCGCTTGCGCTTTTTGGCTTTGCACAGTCTCAAGCCATTCTCGGCATGACCAGTGTCCACATGCCTCCGATCGTGGAGTCCTGGACTCAGAATTTCCAGTGGAGCATGGGCATTATGCATCTAGGTTTTATTCAAAAGATCGCCAACTGGTATCTCCGGGCCACGGGCGGTACTTCATCGACCTTACTGTCTGATCTTGAAAATACGTCTGTCAATGTGCTCAAGCGAAAGCGATCGTTGGATTTCGGCGCAGGCGCATTGATGAAGAGAGAGTCTGGAGAAGGCGCAGCGCCCGACGGATCTAAAACTATCTATGGCATCGTACGTGTTGGCTTCAAGGCCAGCATTGAGCGGACGGATATCTTTATGACCGGGTTCATCTTCATCATTGTCTTTATCGGATTCACGATGCTGATCGTAGGATTAGTCCGGCTTGTCTCTGGTCTTCTTGCAAAATCCGGGAAAACGGACAGTACTAAGATGGACAGCAGCACATGGGCAGTCACAATGAAAGGCATTCTGCTCCGCCTGATCCTCATGTGTTATCCCGCAGTATGCATTCTCTGTCTCTGGGAGTTTGCCAGTCATGATTCCCCCGCCGAGGTAATCCTAGCCGTTGTCATGCTTCTGTCGACGACTACTATACTAGTCATGGCAGCTGTACGCATCATACGCAAGGCAAGGCGCTCGGTTGAGATATACAAGAGCCCAGCCTTTATGCTACAGAACGATACTACGTTCTTAAATAAATGGGGCTTCCTATACGCACACCACCGCTCCCCGGCATACTATTTCGTCACGCTAATGGTGGTGTACATCTTCGTGAAGGGCATCTTCGTCGCGCTATGCCAGCCTTCGTCATCCGTTCAGATTGCGGCGCTGTTTGTCATTGAGGTTCTCATGCTGGTCGCAGTCTGCGTCATTCGGCCATGGATGGACAAGAAGACCAACATCATGAATATCAGCGTCACATCCATCAACTTCCTCAACACTCTTCTACTTCTGATTTTCAACTTCCGACAGCGCGACATGGCAACGAGTATCCTGGGCGTTATCCTGTTTGTCTACAATGCCATCCTCACCCTCATCCTCCTAATCGTCATCCTAATCGCTGCGATCATGGCCCTCGTGTCCAAAAACCCAGACAATAAGTACCAAGTGATGAAAGACGACGGTTCCTCCATCATGTCTCGCACACACATGACAGAATTAGACGCTCTAGGTGCCGCAGCGCGAGGCTCGCCCGACCAAAACCAGAAGGAGAACCCCTTCGCTCATAATGAAGTTCCTCCAAACCATGCCAACGGCCTCCAGCCCTCAGACCGGGCATCCCCGAACCATATGACCGGGGCAAACCATTCACCATCGTCTCCACTTGACCCGTCCGTCCCTCTCTTCCCATCCAGTGACACCCGCAGCGCATCGCCCTACGAGTCTGGCGACCATAACCTTAGTCCGTCTGAATACAGCCACCCAGGTGCCTCACCGGTCAATCGGGGATACAACGTCTCGCCCATTCACACGCCATCGCCACACGCGTACAGGGCAGCCAACAATGCCAGTCCGTGGCAACGGGGAGCCGGGTACGAACATTAGCACCCTAACACGCGGTATGGGAAGTAATATTATTCCCCCTCACTAACCCCGTGTACACTTTCCCGTGAGGCACACCTAGCTCGGAGAAGAACTACAATAATCGTATATGTAAATGGCGATATGCATGATTGCCACTTGTACAAATTTTGTTTCTTCGCACTCGACCTTATCGACCCTTTTAGAGGTATATATATAGCATACCAGTATACTACTGGCTAGACAACAGTACTTGGAGATATTGAAATGGGTTTAATCATGGACATTTGGCCAGGCGTTATGGTGTATATATAGCAGGTATTATAGAGTTTCCACGAAGATTACTACTTCAAGTCATGTTCCAAGAAAAGCACTACCTTGATTGTATCATATCCGAACAGCTAGGCAACGTTCAGCCCGATACCACCGTGTCGCCTAATTATGGAGAAACAGGGCAAGATTCCAGATTCCAATCGGCCGCCGAGCAGGAGGGGCGGAGGAATCCATCGGCGCGTATAGTACAGCTCGATATAGGCGACAACGGAGCCATAGCGTAGGTAGCAATATCAAAGGGGCTGGGCGCAATTAATCCTGTGTCTGACGCGGAACCACAGTTAGTCTCATGATGAGACAGAACGGCAAGCGGCGGTGGCCTAATCATGGAGATTGCCGCCTACATCTCCTGTATCACCGGTTAGTGGACGCGTCAATTGTAGATTACGCAGAATCGTTATCTTTTCAATAATCGGCCGGGTGGCGCAATGGTAGCGCGTTGGTTTCCGGTACCAAAGGTTTGCGGGTTCGAGTCCCGTCTCGGTCGAATTCTTCTTTTTGACTCTCCTAGCGCTTCTTTTCTATGAGATTATGGATGTCTTAATTCTTTTCTTTTTTTTTTTTTTTTTTGGCTTTTGGGGACTCATATAATAATACTACATTGTGTAAAATGGCCTCAACATTAAAACAGCGGCATAAATCTGAGTTAACTGACAAAATCTGCTGTCAGCAACTATATCCACAGAGATATATATTGACAAATGATGGCTTTAGCCCTACTTCAGCGAATCCGAGACACAACCACAACTTTTTCTTACTACCAATACGAGCCAATGCTATCATCAGTATTAAACACATGAGAACGCTAGAATGCTAGATAATAGCAAATGAAAGACCGGAGAAGGAATTCCAGCAGTGTCATCCGATGGCGGGGTCAATCAGTCATCGAGCGATATCTTCATCTTGGAAATAGCCTACCAATCCTGTTAAAACAGCCCCGTCGCAATAAGACAATACCCCGTATTAAGAGTCATATCCAGTATCGGATTAGTGGTATAAGACATATTTGTTTCAAACTAGAAAAAATATGTTCCATTACTATATACGAAGCACTAACAATCAATATGCAATAAACCTAGGCATCACAAACCCATTTCTCCGCACGCTGAGGTAGCCATCCACTGGTCCTAGGCAGAGATGTCTGGCGACGAAGGTCTCCGACAGGAATTCCCATGCCAAGCATGAAGTTCTCATCCATGCGACACTGGTCCTCGTAGAAGGTCCACTGGACACAACCCTCCCAAGCCAC